CCTTTTCTCTTTTTTTTTCCTAGTCCATAAGAGCAAGTTTAATACTTGAGCTCACTGCTTACTATAAGTGAATGTTAGAGCTAACTTGTATAATAAATTAGCTATAGGTTAACTTTATTTTTTCCATTCTCTTTCTTTCTCACCCTATGAATTTAATGCATATTTCTTGTGGCTTGTGTGAAGCTGGCTCTTGCATAAGAGCCAACACTACCCACTTTTTTTCTCTCTCTTCCACATAAGCATATAGCTTGCTTATAGCCTATTATTATCCTTGCTCTAACTCATTTAATCCTATAGCTACTAGATCCTCTTTCAGAAAAGAAAATATATGAAAGAATGCTTATTTAATGATGCAAATAATTGAGCATCGGCGTGAAAAAGTAAATTTCAGTGTTGTATCTAGTAAGTACGCTTTAAACTGCACAAGATATCTCTTGGCGCAAGTAATCAGCAGTTGCAGAGTCGCATTTTTTGACTTGTTTCTGGAAAACAAGGTCATGGTCTGGAGTTTCTTGACTACTGCGTCACCAGTAACTGGAAGTAGAGAGTAGTAACAGGTGTGTGCGCGTCAAAGCGTCGTGGTTCTCGTAATTCAATGGTCATCTGGTTGCTCAGATAACCTGTAAGTTTCCACCAATTTTCAGTCTATTGTATGGCAGATCATTTGTACATGCTTTTTTTTTATGTAATAGCGATAATTCGATGTACCAGTGCGTTATAATAGGGTATAAGAAAAGATGGTTTAATAATTTTAGGGGTTCAATTTTCGTTATAATAGGGTATAAGAAAAGATGGGTTAATAATTTTAGGGTTAAATTTTCTACGGGCAAAGGTTGCTGTAGTGGTTCTATGGGCCGGTTATTTCTTTGGAGGCAATATTTTTTTTTGCATCCCATTGCTATATCGCGAGATCCCGTTTGGACGCTATGATAGCAAATATGTATCGAATTCTGATACCTCATTGGTACCGGCTGATCTGGTACCAATTGATACCTATGGGCATCACATCTAGTACTAGTTGACACCCATTTGTACTAGGTTGAGGCCCTTTCTCTCTCCCTTGATCTCCAATCTGTTCCATGTCTCTAACTACGGTAAAGTGTTCCTCAGTGGCACGGAACCGTTATCTGGCAAGACCCCCTTCCTTCCAACACCCCCTCCCCCACCCCCTCTTGTGACACAGTAAGGCGACACAAGCCTCTACTCCCGACAACATGCTCCCTAGTGACGCGGGGATTAGTGGGGCCTTTCTCCAGCGAGCCTTTCATGCTGCACACCGTGGCGGCCACCATTGCCGTCTTCCCCTCGCTGTTCGCCGCCGTGCCGGTCGTGGTGACGGTGGAGGAGGTAAGGTCACTGCTGCTCAGAATTTTTGGGGCACTAAGAATCGGCTGAGCCTTGACGGTAGGGAGGAGGGCGTGGTTTTGCTCCAACTCTTCTGGGAGCGACTCGGATGCTACGATGGTAGAAGCTAAGGCCGAGGGTGCGGTTGCTGCAGAAGGGGAGGCGGATGGCAAGGTGTTTTTTTTGCTATCATGCCCATCACCCTTCACTTCGAAGACTGTCTGTTGCTCTTGGTGCCCACCGTCCTCCTTCGCAAGACGAGCTCGCACAATCTCATGTCTTGGGTATACTAGGAAGGGGATCTGATCCCTCGAGTTCTACGTCGAACTCTATTTTATCATAAGTTCATCATAGAAGTTATTTTATGACGAATTTTGCATCTTGCATGACAATTGTGTGTTGTCGTAGATGTGCCCATCTCCACTAGTGAGTTAGGATCCCGATAGTTAGCAGTTTTGGTAGCTAGATTTACTTTGGTTACACAACATCAAGATGTGTGTCCTAGAACAAACAAAGCCCATAAATATTTGGGCAAGCGAAGGAGTAATCCGCATCCCACCTATTATTATATTATATTATTAATATAGTCTTAAAAGGAGTATCAGGTTAGAAATTCTCACGTTAATCGGAGAAAAAGAAAAAGATTTTTACAGTTAGATATTGGTGAGTCCGGATTATAATACTGTATAGATTGATTGGTATAATTGTATTACAAAATACAATTATATATATATATATATATATAGTAAATTTGTTTGGTGCTCCATGGTGCCCGGGCACCATTGTTGAAATTGAGTATATACCCAATTCAAATGAGTATGAAACTTTTTCAATTACTTAGGTATTAACATTAACTACTTTACTAACTAGTTTAAAGCAAGTTTGAACTGAATTTGAACTTGTTTTTGTTAGATTTTGATTCTAGGTATATAGCATCCATACATATAATTAGTTAGGTATGTAATTATGGATTGTGAAATAAAGTTAAATTTGAGTTGTTTTGTTGATAAGTATAGGTATGAATCAAATTATTATAACTAGGTATATACTCACAATTTGAAAATTTTGAAAAATTTGAGTGATTTTGTGCATTAGATACCATGGTGCCCGGGCACCATGGTGCCCCATATGAGTGTCCTATATATATATATATATATATATATATATATATATATATATATATATATATATATATATATATATATATATATATATATATATATATATATATATAAAGGTGTAGTATAGCTAAAACACACCCACACCCCCTCCCCCACCCCCCCCCAACACCCTCCACCCTCCCTCCCTCCCGCACGTCTGCCTATCTATTTTTTTTACCCCCACTATCCTCTCTCTTTTCAATTTTCCGTTTTTTATGGATCTCGAGATCGACAATGCATGGAGGAGAGCAGTATCCACGCCGCCGCCTCCTCCATAGCAGTTCTACGCCTTCGTCGTCTCTTCCACCGTGCAGCCCCTTGTCCCAATCCTCCACGGCGGCCTGCGGTCCGGGACTGAAGTGCTGACATCCAGTTTGCAGCGGCGGCGAGGAGGAGAGGCGACGGTCATGGCGCTCGGTAGAGCAGTTGAATGGTGCATGTTTGTTCGATCGCTTGGCTTTTTACTCACTCTAATCTAATCTTGATACTATCGTTGAATCGATCTGAATCCACCCGTCTGCACGTACACATACGTGCCCTCGATCGAGTGTTAGATTGTGCAATTAGTTGGTGTTTTATTTTGCTACATGATCTGTCTGCTCGATTGATCTCTATAGGCTATAGCTTCTGCCTTTTTTTGGAGGAAGCACAGCTGCTGTGTTTGGTCAACTAATTGCAGCTTATTTGCCGGCGCCAGATATGTGTTGATTGCTTGTGTTCCTTCGTGAGTTTGTATAATGTACATGCATGTCCCATTGATCCATCGTGGATCAATTTGTTCCTGTTTGGCTAGTTGCATCTTCCTTGCTGCGCTTTAATTTGCACTGGGTTAAATTAAGCTATACACTTCAATTAACCCAAAGTTCAACCCAGTGATGTTTTAGCACCTGTGCAGTGATGTTTTAGCATCTGGAAACACCTTTTCCTATTTTTATTGTGTGACTGAGCTGAACATAATAATTTCACAAATTTGTTGAGTCAGGCCTGTTGAAAACATATAGTTGCTGGCTGTTTTGCTTCCAGTTCCATAATCATTTTGTTTCCGTTCATATCCTTGTGCATTTTTAATACATAGCATCTGCAATTATTGAGGAAATCAAATGCAATTTTCAATTTTGTTTCATTCTACCTGTAATTCTGGATCTGTTTTTGTTCAGATATTTAAGTGGGAAACAAACTTACTGTGAGAAATTATACTCCTTTCTTTTATGTGCTCCCTCTAGCTGTTGATGTGCCATTCAGACTAATCTTTCTGTTTGTGTTTTCATGCTCTGTGATTTCAATTTCCTAGCAACAACATGATGAATTAGGAGCGTACCTGATATTTCAGTTTTATAACTACACATTATTCTTGAGCAAAAGCATAACATGATTAGGAGGCTCTCTGAATTTTTTCCTCATCCGGAGATGCAGAAAGTGGTGTCCTCCTGTCAACTGCGTTGGTGCATGTCAAGTCCAGGGAGGAGTGACGGCAAGGATGGCTTCACGGTGGTGACGACGATAATGAGGCAAAGCACAGATTCTGGGGAGACTTGGCACAGCAAGCCAAAGTTTGCGCATGTTTCAAACGGAATGTTGAGAAGCATCGATTTAATAGTAATTTAGTTACTAAGAGACAATATGTTGTTGAACTATCAGTGTAATAGTAACTTGGTTACTATGAGAAACTTTGTGGCAAGATCAATATGTTATGTTGAGAACCATCGGTGTAAGAGTAATTTATTTACTAAGAGAAATCTCGTGGCGATACCAATAAGTTAATTCTAAGTAATTTATTTACTAAGAGAAGGTATATGAACCAATTAGGAATACTACTATCGTAAGTAATTTATTTACTAAGTGAAGAGTTGAGAACGACCTGAGACTCTAAGAGTGATTCATTTACTGAGAGGAGGAACCAAATTAGACTCTGAGAGTGATTCATTTACTGAGAGGAGGAACCAAATTGAGAAGGGCCAAAAATAACCTCGGAACCAAATTGAGAAGGGCCAAAAATAACCTCGGAGTAATCCATTTACTGAGGGAAGGAATCAATTTGGGAGCGTTGGAGTGTTAGTAACTCATTTTCTGAGTGACTGATAAACTTAGTAATCTTGTTACTGATGGGATAATCACGAAAAAAGTGCGGGAGGAAATAGAAAAAAAAGAGGAAAGAAAAAAAGGTGCGGTCTAGTTCTGCGGGATTGATGGTGTGGAGAACTTGATAGTAACTCTCGTTTACTTATCGAACTAAAACTACAGATAGTAACTGATTTACTTAACGAAAGAATTTTTTGTGTGGGCTAATGGGTGAGTGTTTGTGCGGGCTGCATGGGGTGGGGGGTGGGTGGGTGGGGGTGCCCCGTACGTGAGGGGAGCGTTTTAGTTATAGCACACCCTGGATGCGGTTTAGCTATATATATATATATATATATATATATATATATATATATATATATATATATATATATATATATATATATATATATATATATATAAAAGGTAAGAGCCATATAATAGTTCATAAAAAAATTAAAATTTCAGAGTTATTACATATTTAATCTAACTTTACGTAAATTATTTAGCTTCGCGCAAAACTGCACGGGACAAAGATAATTAGACAAGCAATTCCAAACCGCGTGAAAGCCGTAAGGAAAGATATCAAAAAGTTCAAAACTGCACTAACGAACGAACTCCCTCTCATCATCGAAAACACACACACATCCACATGACATTAATCGCAAACACCAGCGTACGTATTTAATGCACACAACCTGCACGCACGTAATTAAGCCATCGCCTATGGCGGAGACGGGGACGGCGGCGACGACGACGCCCTGCTCTTGCACTCCGGCGCCCGCCGCCGCTCCTCATCCGCCACCTGCGACCTCAGCTGCTCGTAGAACCGGCTGATGAACTCCTCCGCGAGGCCGTCGATCTCCTGCTCCCTCCACCACTGCGGCGACCGCTCCGGCGGCGAGCGTCGACCGCCGCCGGCACCGACAGGCGGCGCCGGGGACATCATCGCCGCCTCCCGCAGCATCTCCCTCGCCTGCTTGGCTCCCACGCAGGGTGGCAGCAGCAGGCAGCGCCGCCGGCGCCGCCGCCCTTTCGCCGGAGCGAAGGCGACCGGGGTGGCGGAGCACGAGAACTCGTAGCTCCGGCCGAAGTAGTAGCCGTCGTCGTCGTCGGCGGCGGCGGCGGAACGCGACACGCAGCCGCAGCCGGAGCCCGCCGTGAGCACCCCTTCCCAGAGCTCCCTGCACTTGGCCACGACCACCACGACGGCGGCGAGCATGGCCTTCTTGGTCCACATGAAGATGATCAGGAGGTCGTCTCTCCCGCCGCCGCCGCCGCCGCCGCCGCTGCTCGTCAGCTTCGCGATCGCTTGCTCCTGATCTCGTCGCTTCATGGACGGACTACTGTCTCTCTGTTTTTTTTATTCTTTTTCAAAATATGAACCATGTATTATTTTAGATTTGTGCAGGAGGATTAAGAAAAATACTCATACTCTAAGTCGTTTCGACTCTTTTTCCTAGTCAAATATTTTTGATATAAAACAAACATATAATCAAAATATATTAAACGTTTAATTTCGTGTTGCGGATATTACTATTTTTTTCATAAATTTGATCAAACTTGAATAAATTTGACTAAAGAAAATCAAAACGACTTATAATACTCACTCCGTCTCTAGATATAAGGGGTTTTGGTTGGATGTGACGTATCTTAATACAAGAAATCTGGACACATCCAACTAAAACCCTTATATTTAGGGATAGAGGGAGTATGAAATAGTGTAACTTAATGAGAATTAACATTCATTTATCTGAATAGTGCAAAAAATTGGAAGAAAAAAGTTGAGAAGGTTAAAGCGACTTACAACTGAAATCGGAAGAAAGAAATAACTCAAAACAAGAAGTGACGATAGAAATTAATGTGGCGGATGAATGAATGAACATGTGGAGATGCATGGCATGGCAGCTCGATCTGGTGGTATTTGTAGGGTTTTGGAGAAGGACGAAAGCTTAGAGTGGAAGGACGAGAGTGTCGTTGGAAATGTTCAGGAACATGGACATGACATCGTACTGATAATGATTAAGTGTTAATTGTACTGTTAATAATTCCCGGGAAGGAGGGGGGAAACTACTTGGAGAGAAGCCTAATGTACTGACGTACGTCTTCATTGAATTTCGTCTAAATATTCTATTTGTGAGTGAGAAATTCAAGCTGTTTGATCCTGTTTCACATTATCTGGCCGGCACACGTACAGTCCAGAAAATCCAGGTGAATTTACGAATGTTTAGCAGCAACCAATTTTTCTTTTGTTCAGATATCTGTAACTTTTCTGTTTGGGATAACTGTTTGCTTAAACTGTCATCGATATTCAATAATCAGCGCCTTTCCCTTGGAAAAGAATGATACATATACGTCTCAAGTGAATTCAACTGCAAAGAATTCTTGTTTTATTATCTCTTTAATTTTCTGCACTGTTTGAACTCCTAGTGAAGTACGGGAGACCTCCAGCCAGACACACACACTTCATCAAGTCAGTGATGTGTAACACAAATTAATTAAGAGGACTTAGCGCTAAACTGCTAATATATGCATTTTCCTATCAGTAAATGTCTCTACCACCACGTATACAGATCCTTTTCACCTTCAAACAAAATAAAAAAAAGGAACGTCACCATCAAGCTGAACAATGTCGGCAACAGTTTTTGTAGTAGCACACAATAACTGCAGTGCATTCACAGTGTTCATTGATTGGTTGACTATATATTATTAAAATAAGTGCTATGGAAATTTACTGGGAATTTCCTGCACACTCGACTGATCTGCTTGTGTATGGGCAACATGTATGTATCAGTGCGCTGCTTTTTAATTATACCCGTTTAAATTAACACGCAAGCTAGAACACATTCACATGACTTGGGTAGCGTAATTTCGTTTTGTTTGACAGTGCTGTCAGCACGGTAAATTGCAGCCGCTCTTCGTTCCTCCAGGCAACGACGTTGTACGTAGATCCGCAAGTGGTAGATTAATTTCTTATTAACACTACATGTTAAGCATCCAATCATCCATGAGTGTATTGTGTTTTGTTTATTCTCTAAATATTTTTTTTCACTTTTAAAGTCAACAAGTGGTTCATTCTCCAATTAAAATGTCTCCGAAGTCCAAACCGACATAAGCATTTTGTCTCTTTTAAGTCTGAACATTACTGAGGGTGTGTTTAGTTCACGTCAAAATTAAAAGTTTGGTTGAAATTAGAACGATGCGATGGAAAAGTTGGAAGTTTATGTGTGTAGAAAAATTTTGATGTGATGAAAAAGTTAAAAGTTTGAAGAAAATATTGGGAACTAAACCAGGCCTAAAGCTCTGAGCAAGGAAACCAGGATTGAGGAGGAAAGAAAGCTAGGAGGCGTTGGTCGTTTGGGCAGACCTTTTTACTATGCGGAAGTGGCATTAATTGGGCTTGAAGACATGTGGACGCTTGCATTTGCTTGCCTTCATTTTACCTATTTGGAACGCAGAAAACAAATTTGGCTGTGTTTAGTTGGATCCAAAGTTTAGATTTTGGTTAAAATTAGAGATGATGTGACTGAAAAGTTACGTGTGTATGATAAGTTGATATGATGGAAAAATACTGAAGTTTAGATCTAAACTTTGGATCCAAACATAGCCTTCGTAGTTTGTAAAAGTATTGAATTGATCACTGAAATTTCTGCATTTTGGAATGCTATTTCGTCCATAAAGATATAGGGTATGGTTACTTGGTCATAAAGGTATATAAAATGTATACACGGGAGAATAATGTGATGCACGCGGCGCACGAGATCGGAGCGAAAATTTGTGGAGATCAACCCTAAATTGCGTAGACAAAAACAGTACCAAATTCTAATCAGCAAAAAAGAAAAATCATCTAAACATTATTGCTAGTACTAGCTATAGTACTCTTCCATTTCACAGTTAACCCACCAAGCTTAAGCTACCTTTGCCTGATTGCCTCCACAAGTGGACAACGTCGATCTCGTGACCATAACGCACATGGCAAAGCCGTTGCAAATTGCAGACGAAAGAAATCGAATATACAAACAGCTTAACTAACTTCACCGTATAGATGCGAGGGTGGTGTTACATGTGCAGTGGCTATTTATGTGTCTATCATGTTATCGAAGAAAATAGGAATAAGTTCATCTGAGGTCCCTTAACGGTTAGTGAATCCGATTTTCATTCTTCAACCCAAAAACCAGTAATAATGGGTCCCTCAACTGTTAAAATCGGTACAAAATAAGTCTGAAAACAGTTTAGACGGCGGTTTCAGCAGACACGCTGCCCACGTGGCTAAGCTGGAGACGAAGGTGGCGGTGCACGCAAAAATGAACTGATTATGAACTGAATTTATACATCAGCGCATGAATTGATTTATATCAGATTTGTATTGCTATTCATTTGTTGTTACTCGCAAAAATGTTACAAGAGTTTGACATATACTCCTTCGTTTCAGGTTATAAGACGTTTTAACTTTAGTTAAAGTCAAACTACTCTAAGTTTGACTAATTTTGTAGAAAAAGTTAGAAATATTTTTAACCCAAGATTAATATATTATGAAAAATTATTCAATTATAGATTTAATGAAACTATGCCGGTGTTGTAAATATTACTATTGTTTTCTATAAAGTTAGTCAAATTTAGAGTAGTTTAACTTTAACCAAAGTCAAAACGTATTATAACCTGAAACGGAGGGAGTAGTAACATTGTGATATATGCGGCCATGAGCCCAATCCTCGCCATTCTTCACCATCGTCCTTGCGAACTTCTTTGCCCACGACACCGGGTGCCGCACGTTGGCGTGCACCAGCCTCGCCGTCGCCAAGAACGACAGTAGCGCGGCGTCCGACGTGAACAGCACTCGGCGTGGAGCACGTTCTTGTAGAACTGTTTGTCGAGTGCGTGCAGGGTGACCACGTCCTGGGCCACCGTTGGGTCGTTGCCGCCGGCGGGGCTCGCCTGGAGAAAGGAGAAGAGAGAGGGGAGAGATGAAGAGAAGGGAGATGGGGAGAGAGGAGGAAGAAAGGATGGGATGAGAATGACATTTGGGGGCCACGTATGCCCATCATTTCTTAATTATTTTTTCGTAACTGACACATAGATCTACGGTTTTTCTTATTTCCCAAATCAAACAACGACGTAAGCGCCACGTCAATGTCACGTCAGATGAAGACCAAGCCAAATTAGCCACGCAGGCATCACGTTAGCTGAAACCGCCGTCCAAACCGCCTTTGGTCTTATTTTGCACTAGTTTTGACAGTTAAGGAATCCGTTGTATCTGGTTTTTCGGTTGTAGGATGAAAATCACTTTTTGTTGAACAGGGACCTCATATGAACTTATTTTAAGAAAATATGATTTCACTGTCCAACATTGTTGGCCCGTGGGCCGAGTTCAAAGAGGAGATGCAAGGTCCAGCTCCTCGAACATCGCGTCCCCTCGGCAAATCTCCTCCGATGCCGCGGCGGTGAACTGCACCAACCGGAATGCCCGCCCCGTCCTCCTCCTGCATATGAAAATCTACATCTCTATTCCCTCTGTCCTAAAAAGATTTATTATAAGAATAAATTTAGACACATATGTGTTTAGATTCATCTTTAGAATTTAGTTTTTTTTATGAAAGGAGTATATAGTATTGATGCCTGTCCTCATAGACCATGCCCATTGCCCCCTCGCACCAAACTAAGGTGGTGTTTGAATGTCCTGAATATGAGATGAAGATAAAAATTAAGTGTTTCACGTAAAATAAGGTTGTAATAACGTGTGATTAATTGAGTTTTAATTATTACAAACTTGAAAAATATATTAATATGATATTTTAGAACAACTTTTATATAGAAAGTTTTCGCACGAAACGCACCGTTGAGCAGTTTAAAAAGCATGCCACGAGTATCCAAAATTTAATCCAACTTTTGTTGGATTAATTGCTGTCCTCGTTTGGTAGTATTACATCTGAATCTAAGCATTTGATGTTATGCAAATATAGGCCAATGGCTGCATTGCAACATGTAACAGATTCAAACAAAATTGAACTTATAAAGTATATGCTAAATAATTATAAATATTAGGGGATGTTTGATTGATGCCTAACCTTACCATAACTAAGTTTAGGTTAGTTGTGATATGGTGGCATAAGTGTGGCTTATAAATAGTTTGCCACAAGTGTGACATGCTTAACTCTAAATTTGAGAGCATGACATGTGGGTCCCAAAGTTAAGAAAGTGTGGCATAACACAATTGCGACAGCGAACCAAACAGATGCCTAAAAAACTATGGCATGACTAAAGTGTGGTGTGGTAAAGTGTGGCAACCAAATAAATAACCCCTAGTCCTATCAATTTGGCACATGGTGTCAAGTCCACTTGGTGCATGTTCATCAAGGCTTCCCTTGATGCCTTGTTCTCTTAAGAACCTTCTAAGCGGTTAACACAAATTCAAATCGAAGTAAGAATCTGACACAAATTGAATTCGAAATTTGCTCTCACAACGAGAGAGAAACAAAAGAATTGCGCAAAAACTAATCGGCGAGGCCTCTCGATATTGTCTTATCGCGCGACGCCAACCATAAAAGCCGTGGAGAAGCCAGCGCACATGCATGCCTTTTTTTCTATTACACATGCATGTATTTTTCCCCTTCTTACAAAGTTTTCTCTCAAATTACTTATCCGATCTATAATCCGATTACACTATTGTGTTCGTTACAATTAAATCTTCAAAACTAGATCTTACATGATTATACTACGATAAAAAATATTTATACTTGTAAATTACTTTTATTATATACTTAAGTTACTTTTATCATATATATAAATTACTTTTAGATTTGACTAAATTACTTTTTATATATTCATAATGCTTTAAGTCAATTATGTTTATTATAGTTTTTAGTCAATTGTATAATTTATGGACTTTAAATTTAATTTTTAGATACAAAATATTTTTCTCTCGAATTTACTTCTAATGTTGTAACAACTTACTTTTATTTTGTGCTAACTTACTTCTATTGCATAGCTAAGTTACATCTATTGCATAGCTAAGTTACTACTACAATTTAAATAAATTACTTTTAAATTAATGAAATATTTGAATATATTTAACATGGATCTTGTTTTGTCTCATATTTTATGTAGAGTACAATGATGTAAATAGATCATGAAAATAATACGTGATTTAAAAGATATAAGTTATTAAAAAGCTTAAATCTAAAAGTAATTTATGTATAGAACAAAAGTAACTTACATATATAATAAAAGTATTTACAACATAGATATTTTTTATCAGAATATAATCGTATAAGATCTTGTTGTAAAGATTTAATTGCAACGATCATAATGGTGTAATCGGATTATAGATTGGATAAGTAATTTAGGAGAAAACTCTCTAGGAAGAAAAAAAAAGGCGTGTACTGTTGAGTGTACTAGTAACTGTTTTTTTGGAAGAGAAGGACGTCGTTGGTTAGCGATATGCCGCTAGCGCGCACGATCTAGCCATGTCCAAAGAATTGGCGAATACAGCAGGAACGCCGTGGACGAAAGACAATAATAATACTACTCCTAACAACTACTTCGATAATCCACAATAGGGTGAAATCGTCGTCTCGGTCGGACTCGGGAGTTGCTCAGTCAGTGTCCGACACCATGGGCCCGTGGGCCGAACCCGAAGAGGAGGTGCAGGGTCCAGCAGTGGAGGCCCAGCTGCTGGAACGTGGCGTCGCCCCGGCGAATCTCCTCCGACGCCGCGCCGGCGAACCGCACCAGCCGGAACGCCCGCCTCTCGCCGCCGGCCGCCGAGACCGAGTGGCGGTGGCAGTATCGGAAGAGCCCCTCCACCGGTCGTGCCGCGCCGAAGTCCTTCTGCACCACCCGCCTGTCCGAGAACCTGACGCGCACGCTGCACGCCTCCTCCCCCTCCGCCGCCTCGCCGTAGTCCGACGCCGCGTCGCTGTCTTCCTCCTCCACCACGTTGCTGTTGCCGAGAACGGCCCTGAGATACCCGGTGTCTTGAAAGAAGCTCTCCGTGCGTGCAGGGACCGGCATTGGCGGGAGGACAACGGGCACCGGCGCCGGTGGCGGTGGCGTGGCCGTGAGATACCCGTGGTCGTCGTCGTCGTCGTCGCCGTAGAGCCTCTCGGTGCGGGTCGAGATGGGTGGGCGGATGGCGGGCTCGTCGGCGGCGGCGAAGTAGAGGGCGAGGGCGTCGTCGAGGTTGCCGCGGCATGAGGTGAGGTGGTTAGCGGCATGTTAAACAACATGCATGTATTAATGTATATCTTGCCTAACTGATCTAGCTGAGATTTAGATTGTTAGTTTAGATAAGATGTATATCCTTTAGATCAAATCTCGGCTAGATTAGAGGCTATATAATCCTGTAATCTCAGCGCCGATTGGTGCGCCAATATAACACGCAGCTGTCGCACCGAAACAAAGGGCGACGTTCAACCCATCTCACTTTCGCTGTTTTACATGGTATCAGAGCGAGAGAAAACCAATTCAATCTAGATGGCCAGCTCCTCCTCTACCGCAGTTTCCAATCCGCTGTTCGGGGTTCAAGTCTCCGAGAAATTGAGCAAGCAGAATCATGCGCTCTGGAGAGCACAGGTTCTCATAGTGATTCGTGGCGCACGCCTGGAGGGTCACATCACCGGCGAAACGGCAGTACATGCCGCACAACTCAGCAAGACGGTGGAAGGAAAGGAGGTCAAATTCTCCAATCCAGCGCATGACGAATGGATTGCAGCGGATCAGCAGATCCTCGGGTTCCTGTTTTCCTCCATGACGAGGGAAACGCTGGCGCAAGTCGCTACTGCCGCAACGACGGGCGAAGCCTGGAAGACGATCCAGCAGATGTTCACAGCAAAAACGCATGCTCAAACCATGAACGTGCGGCTGGCCCTCATCACCATGAAGAAGGGTAATCTTTCAGTTTCTGATTATGTTGGTAAAATGAAATCGTTTGCAGATGAGATAGCAACAGCAGGCAAGTCCATGGATAGCGATGAACTGATCGCATATATCCTGAATGGACTGGATGAAGACTTTGATCCAGTCGTCTCTGCGCTGGTGGCCAAAACTGAATCGGTCACAGTAGCAGAGGCTGTCTCGCAGCTCCTGAGCTTCGAGAGCAGATTGGCGCTTCGTCACGCAAGGCTCCGCGAATGCAGCCAGCAGAAACCGTGGGGGCTTCTCCTCACGTGGTGGCGCAGGAAGAGGCCGGAACACCAACAGCAACCGCGGCCGCGGCTCCGGCCGTGGGCGTGGCTCAAGTCAACAGCGCGGCAACGACGGCCGCCCCTTATGCCAGGTGTGCTACAAACGTGGCCACGTTGCTGCAGATTGCTGGCATCGCTTTGACGAAGACTACGTCCCAGATGACAAACTCGTCGCCGCAGCTACATACAGCCATGGCGCTAACTCGAACTGGTATGTTGATACGGGTGCTACCGATCACATCACTAGTCAACTGGAGAAACTCAACATACGGGAGGTGTACAAGGGACATGATCAGATTCACACCGCTAGCGGTGCAGGTATGAAAATCAAGCACATTGGTCATGCTATAGTTCATACCCCAACTCGTCCTTTACATCTTAATAATGTTCTTCATGTGCCACAGGCCGCTAAAAATCTTATATCAGCAACTAAACTTGCCTCTGATAACTCTGTTTTTGTGGAAATTCACTCTAAGTATTTTTTATTAAGGATCGAACCACAAGGAGCACGGTTCTTAAGGGGCCACGCCGCCATGGTCTCTATCCGCTTCCGTCCACATCATCCACCAAGCAGGCCTTTGCAGTTGCTCCATCGCTTGAGCGGTGGCACAGTCGGCTCGGGCATCCTTCCATTCCCATTGTTATGAAGGTCATTAGTTCAAATAAGTTACCGTGTCTTAGAGAATCTAATAAAGAGTCAGTGTGTGATGCTTGTCAAAAGGCCAAGAGCCATCAATTACCGTATTCCAATTCTTTGAGTGTGTCCAATAAACCTCTAGAACTTATTTATTCAGATGTATGGGGGACGGCCTCCACCTCTTTTGGAGGAAAAAAATTTTATTTTAGCTTCATTGATAGCTATAGCAAGTTTTCTTGGATATATCTCCTTAAGCATAAATCTGATGTCTTTGAAAAGTTTCATGACTTTCAGCAGCTTGTTGAGCGGCTTTTTGATCGCAAAATTATAGCTATGCAAACCGATTGGGGAGGAGAATATCAAAAATTAAACTCCTTTGAAAAAATCGGAATCTCTCATCATGTGTCATGTCCTCACACTCACCAACAAAATGGTTCAGCTGAAAGGAAGCATCGACACATAGTTGAAGTTGGTCTAGCTCTTCTTGCATATGCATCTATGCCACTTAAATATTGGGATGAAACCTTTCTTGCTGCCACTCATATTATTAATCGCATTCCCTCCAGAATTCTTCAATATGACACACCTCTAAAACGCCTATTTAACCATAAACCTAACTATTCTTCTTTCCGTATTTTTGGTTGTGCTTGTTGGCCAAATCTTCGCCCTTATAATGCTCATAAATTGCAATTCCGCTCCATGCAATGTGTTTTTCTTGGCCCAAGCCACACCCACAAAGGATATAAGTGCCTTGACATAGCCACGGGAAGAATCTATATTTCTAGAGATGTCGTCTTTGATGAAAATGTTTTTCCTTTCTCTAAACTTCACTCCAATGCGGGTTCAAGACTACGCAGTGAAATTGCCCTTCTACCATCACATGTTTTATCTCATACTTCTCATCAAGGGGGAGAACATAGCAACCATATGCTTGATTTTTATAATGTTTCATCTGATCAGACCGATGAGAATGCAGATATAGATGGAGGAAATACGACAGATACAGCTGATGATGATCTGGGCACGTCAGGGAATGTGGACGTAGCAGCAGACTTGGGTTCGGCTTCGGAAATTGGGCAGTAGACTGACCCAACAGACCAACCTGCGCATGACACGTCCGCCACCGGCGCCAGCACTCGCCGCTCATCATCGCCGCGCCAACCAGGAGGCGAAACGCGGCTACACAACAGTGGGTCTCCGGTGCATAGCACTAGTAGTCAATCCACACATGGAGACAGAGATCTGACATTGGCAGGTAATCAATTGCATGAATTGAGATCCTCTGTGATGCAGGACATGCACTTTGGAGGAGAAGCAGCCACTCATGCCACAAAAGATCAATCAATGGTCGCAGCAAAGCCCAGAACAAGGTTACAAAGTGGTATCCGCAAGGAAAAGGTATATACTGATGGAACAGTTAAATACTCATGTTTTACTTCATCTGGTGAACCACAAAACCTTCATGAGGCTTTAAATGATAAGAACTGGAAACATGCTATGGACTCTGAATACATAGCCTTAATGAAGAATAAAACTTGACACCTTGTTCCAGCAAAATCAGGTAGAAATGTTATAGATTGTAAATGGGTATACAAGATTAAAAGAAAAGCTGATGGAAGTCTAGACAGGTATAAAGCTAGACTAGTTGCTAAGGGCTTTAAACAAAGATATGGCATAGACTATGAAGATACATTCAGTCCTGTTGTTAAAGCTGCTACAATTAGAGTTATTCTGTCTATTGCTGTATCTAGAGGATGGAGCCTTCGTCAGCTTGATGTAAGCAATGCTTTTCTGCATGGCATCCTAGAGGAGGAGGTTTATATGAGACAACCTCCAGGATATGAGGTGTCTTCTCTTCCTAATCATGTTTGCAAATTAGATAAGGCTTTGTATGGTCTTGAACAAGCCCCTAGAGCATGGTACTCTAGGTTGAGCACAAAATTGCAAGAACTAGGATTTCAAGCATCCAAGGCTGATACATCTCTATTTTTCTATAATAAGGGTGCAGTGACTATGTTTGTCTTGGTTTATGTTGATGACATAATTGTTGCTAGTTCTATGCAAAGTGCTACTGCAGCTCTGTTACAATACCTGAACAAAGAGTTTGCTCTGAAGGATCTTGGAGACCTTCATTATTTCCTTGGAATAGAAGCCACCAAGGTATGTAATGGTTTAATACTGTCTCAAGAGAAGTATGTGACAGATTTACTGAAACGAGTTAATATGGATAAGTGTAAGCCTGTAAGCACACCTATGTCAGTATCAGAAAAATTATCCTTGCATCAAGGAGAAGTTCTTGCATCTGGAGATGCTACAAGGTACAGAAGTATAGTAGGAGCACTACAGTATCTGACATTAACCAGACCTGACATCTCATTCTTAGTAAATAAGGTGTGCCAGTATCTACATGCTCCTACCACAGTTCATTGGGCAGCTGTAAAGAGAATCCTGAGATATTTCCAGCAAACAACAAAGTTAGGTCTTAAGATTACTAAATCTCCTTCATTTCTTGTTAATGGTTTCACTGATGCAGATTGGGCAGGTTATCTAGATGACAGAAGATCCACTGGAGGGTTTGCTGTTTATCTTGGTTCTAACCTAGTTTCATGGAGTGCCCGTAAACAAGCAACAGTGTCAAGATCAAGTACAGAAGCAGAATATAAGGCCTTAGCTAATGTCATTGCCGAATTAATGTGGATTCAGACCTTGCTGCGAGAACTGAGAGTTCAAGCGCCTCAAGCTGCAAAGGTATGGTGTGATAATTTAGGAGCAAAATATCTTTCTGCTAATCCAGTGTTTCATGCCAGAACCAAACATATTGGGGTGGATTATCATTTTGTGCGTGAGTGGGTTTCAAGGAAACTCCTAGAAATTGAATTTATCTCTTCAGAAGATCAAGTTGCGGATGGATTTACAAAGTCCTTAACAGAGAGACAATTAAAGCTGTTTCGGCACAATCTCAACCTTAGAAGTTTAGATTGAGGGGGAGTGTTAAACAACATGCATGTATTAATGTATATCTTGCCTAACTGATCTAGCTGAGATTTAGATTGTTAGTTTAGATAAGATGTATATCCTTTAGATCAAATCTCGGCTAGATTAGAGGCTATATAATCCTATAATCTCAGCGCCGATTGGTGCGCCAATATAACACGCAGCCGTCGCACCGAAACAAAGGGCGACGTTCAACCCATCTCACTTTCGCTGTTTTACACGGCGGCGTGTCGACTGTCGCACATGGTGATGTCCATGAACTGCGCGATGAGGTCGTCCATGTCGATGTCGTCGCTTCCCACCATCAGTTGGTTGGCTTGGCGATTCACAGCTACCGCGCGCGAAAGACGAGAGACGAATCGTTGGGAGTGGCGCGCAGGTGGTGTAAGCCCATTTTATAACGAGCTAGGAATCTGATCCCGACTCGGATTCGAGCGCCACCGCCACGCTCTTCTCCCCGATTCTGAGTCGGATTCGAGCCGCCTCTCATGCTCATGCTCCAAATTGACAGACGAAATCACAACATGATCGAGATGGATATACAGATTTACGGAGTATATTATATTCCAACCAGCCAAACATGCTTGGGTCTTAATCCTATTATCTCGTTTTGGCTGCTTCAAGCCTGCAAATTTACAGACATTCCTATATAATCTCGTCTTGGAAAATATTTGTCAGATCGACTCCAGATCCAGCTGCCGGTACCTAATCTTGAAGAACACTATATACTTTGATGTTTGGAGGCTTAAAGTGCAACCCAACTCTTTGTCCTTTTGCAGCCCATCCAATATGTTGTTGAAATATGGTCAACAAGAGCTTCCCATTGTAAATTTGTTATCAGTGAGGACTGACTGCATTTGCTGTCTGAATCAGGTGACAACATGATACACTACAGTGAAGCAATGCTTTTAATAGGAACAAAAGCCCTGCAAGTTTCATCTCCTATTTAATACTAATCTGCAATGCGAAATTAAGTAAACAATTAAGCCAGCTGATGTCCAACTGACAACACAAACACTAATGGTAAGCAACGTTCTTATTACAAAAACAGTAAAAGCTTACCAGATAGTAGAGTGCAATTAAGTAAACAACTCACAAGGCACAATTAAGCCTGCAGGTGAATATCACACTTGATGAAGGAAAGGATGCACAGAAATCAACTCCACACATGGAAATCGACCAGAAACGAAAACCGCAATACCTTGGATTCATCTGATCACATTTATCTACATATCAAAATCCTGTGGGGGGCAACAAAGCCATGTCAAAGATCGATCGAGTTACTTAAGAGCACAAATTCAGGAATGATCAATGTTTACGTTCCTACTCCTCACAGGACAACAGATTATGATGGCCTGTATACATTCATCATCAACCCAGGTGCTAACTAGAGCTTCATCAGTTGAAGACTGCCCCTTGCCTTGAACTCTCGAAGAGTCAGTGCAGGATTTGCTTGGCCTGCTCTGTAGCTGGTGACCGGCTAGGCCGTGCTGCCTTGCAAGAGGCTCTCCTTGGGAACAACAAAGCAGCAATCGAACCACCAGAATCCCGGTCTCGCCACAGGATCAGGCCTTGGCTGATTTGGACGGCTAGTAGGAGTAGCAGCACTAGGAGGGAGTGCGTAGATGATGCCATATCTAGACTCTATGAGCAGCAAGCTCACTCGGGGTGTGCCACGGGCAACATTGTAGTGCGTATCTAGACTAGTTCCATCATTGTAGTGCTTCCGCTAAGGCTATTGGTATGATCCGGTCTTCCGGCGCATGGGGAGGAATAACCAGCATCGAGCACCACTGCATGCATCCAGAGCAACAGGTCAGTTAGGTGAAGAATGTCTCAAAGAATATATATATATATATATATATATATATATATATATATATATATATATATACTCCCTCCGTCCCCTAATATAAGGCCTTTTGATATTTTGCTTGCACTGTTTGACCATTCGTTTTATTCAAAAAAATTTTGGAATTATTATTTTTTTTAACTTACTTTATTATCCAAAGTACTTTAAGCATAACTTTTCGTTTTTTCTATTTGCACAAATTTTTTAAATAAGACAAGTGGTCAAACAATTCAAGTAAAATGTCAAAATCTCTTATATTGGGAGATGGAGGGAGTATATAGTTGCATTGCCAGTTCATAACGGGCCTCTCTATGGGAAGTGATGATGGTACTAACATCTTCCGGACTTTGACCTTCTCTTACATGCTGTCCATATCTCCCTTTGTGCGTGCAAATCCAGGTAGCTGCTACTAATCTGAGGAAAGCAAAAACTGATAAAGAAGAATGCATGTCAGAACCATGAATTAGGATGAGATTGAAGGAAACGAAGGCTCAAGGTGTTTTCTCACTGTCATTCGTTGAATCATAACTGCTGAAGAACTCGAGGAGAAATTCCACGCTGCTGTAGCTGAAAAAGGGTGCAGGTTCAGCTAGTGAGATAGGATGGGATGCATTTAGAACCTACACTTATGAAGGAATTGCATAAAACCAAACATTTCAGAAACCTGACTCTTGACGGTGGGTAATCCCGCATGCGCTTCCATCCCTTTATTTTCGCAATCAGCTTCACAAATACCTGCAAGAATCAATGATACAATAAATCATTGCATACAGCTGGCATCTATCAACCAAAGAGTTACCAGCATCTTACAATGGCGCTTACAGAATGCTGATCATCAATAATTGGATATGAACAAACATGACTAGCATAACTCGCCTGAGAAGCTTCCATAGTTAAAGTACAAGTATGAAGATAATCATTCGAAATAATATTTGATGAGATAGTAGTAAGAAGGAAGACTTAGGATCAGATGGCCACACCATGAAGGAGCATGTGTACAGCATTTCAGTCATCAACGTAAGACACATATAACTTTGTTTGTCTCCATTGTATTCTTTACTAGTACTGTGCAACTGCAAAATTTTTTTGCAAGGTTGAATATTTGTTCAATCAGGTAATTAACTACACAAATTTGTTAGAATTAACACTGCGATGTCATGCCACTATTGTGTAACAACGGTGTGCATCTCCTGCAAATGATAAAACAAAGGAAGTAAGATCATAGATACAATTTGGATTGTATACTACAAATTTACAAGAATCATCAAATACAAGCATGTTTACACCAGAAAAAACAAATATATGGAAAGAAAACAAAGAGGGAAGGCAAGAGATTACTTTGCGTCTCCGGGAAAATTCAGAGGCCCGCTGAAAACGTTCAGCTCGTCTATCCAATTCTCTAAGAGCAGCAAGAAGGCGGTCTTCCCAAAGTGTGTCTATCCTATCAACAACTTGCTCCTGTTATACATTGTCATAAACAAAGAGAATTATAGCACTAAACATACATCCTATGCTAGGGAACAGGGAGGTGGACATTTACCAGATAGGAAAATATGAAACTCCTATAGAAGCACTCCTCATCTGGAACAACCGGCCTAAATTCTGAATAATCATGATCAAGAAATATCAAACGTACACCAACTTGTGCTATCCGAAGAGCATCATAGATGTCCTTGAAATAATAATACACGGCGTCTCCCATAGGAAGTTTCTGCACCTCACCACACAATTACACATAAGGGAATTCAAATATCAATGATCTGAACCAGAAAACAGCATAACTAAACTAGAATGTAGTTATGTTTTATGCTCCAGTTTTCTGGTTTTTACATTCTCTGAAAAATGCTTGAAACAAATAATTAAAATTATCGTTTTATTTTTAGTGATTGTTTGTTCTTCAGTCGTAAAAGACAGAACAGATGCACAATATTTCCTAAATTCAGCAAGAATAGTAGGCCTATTCAAAAGACATCACAATCCACTCCTCCAATTGCTTGCAAAACAACACTTCAATCCAGATTTAACTTATGATTTAGTATTCATACGAAAAAGATATTGTGCTGAACAGCTAGTTCTTCATGAACTTGTGAATATACACAGTTCATGTGATCTATCATATCCTGACATTTGATAATTGATACACTTCCATTTTCAACATTATCTAGGTTAAAAAGAATCAAACCTTGTGAAACACCTGAGGAAAAGATTTTGACATGCTAGATCTGGAATTTTGACTGGGAGAGTTCGGTTGTTCTCCTTCTCTGTCTGAATGCTATTTACAAGAGGGCAACGCAGAGAATTAATATAAGGGCTAAAAATTTCAGACGAGGAAACAAGGTTGAATAGGGATACATGGTATTCTAAAAACAAGGTTAAATAACAGGCTAGCAGAACTGGTGCTTTGACAATTTGTCAACTCTTTACTAATTGAACTATGGGTCTTCTGATACAATTCTAGGCAGCAACCCAGCAGAAGCCTGAATATTTTAGACCGAACACTAGGGTGAGTTTGGAAGCCTATGATTTAGAGAAATCATGTCCAGTGATGCAAAATCCCAAATACACATACCGACAAAATTTTCCTTATAACACTGTCTGATAACACAGAAATCTCATACGTCTGGCTTTAGGATTTCTTACTATGATATCACATTAGTCATAATTTATATGCCCATTTTCAACATTATCAAAGGTTAAAAGGAGTCAAATCTGGTGATCCTCGTGAAGTGACAATTGTGAGTATATTCTTTTTGTGGAATTTCAATTGGATAGCGTGTCACCACGTCCACCTTCCTTTTTTATCCAAAGGCTATTCCACAACAATACAAGTTACAATCCGTACATATTACCAGACTTAAACCCAATTACAGGGAAGTAATATCAATATCAAACATTTCACAGTAGGAAACAAAGAAATAGGGGATGAATGAAGATTTTTAAGAACTGATTAGCAAAATCACAAAACTGGTGTCTGCAGTTTGTCTACTCTTGCCAATTATGCGTCGAGCTATCAAGCCAATTTTGGCTAGTAACCAACCAAATGTTGAATATTTTAGACCGAACAGTAGAGTGTGCCAAGTGATTTTCCAAGTAAGGGGTCAATAATTTAGAAAAACGATCCTAGTGATGCAATCCCAATTCCCAAATGCACATATGGATGAACCATTCAATGACAATGAAAGCTCATAAATTTGGCTTGAGGATTTCTTACCAAAATATCACGGCAGGCATGACATCACCTACTAACACCACATTGTTACACACACACACACACCCATTGTTACAGTGCGATAAAAATGCATCGCATTAAAAAGCAAATCCATTAACGCAAGCAGGAGCAACTAAGTCTCAACAATTTCGACAGGAAAGGAGGCCGTTCTTTTATCCAAGTGCCATAAGAAGATATCAAGAAAGAACCAGTTTACTCGCTATACATACAGAAAGCTGAATTGGCACCCTAACATGTGCCTAGTTTTTTTTTTTTTTATCTGTCATAAGGCCTAGTTGATTTCAACTCTGTTCTAGGATACCATAAAATTCCAACCAAGATTTCTTCGCTGAAGCACAGTAAAATCAACCATGGTTAAATAGAAATCAAGAATGCCAAGCTCCTAGCTCCACCATTCCAACATACAAACTGACACAAGAACCGTGCCTAAGCAACAAGATTGCGCCTATGCATCGATGCAAGATAATCCCAAGATTTCACACGAACTACAGGATCCAAGTCCAAAGATCCCAACACGGAAGATGGCACAAGAACGCTCAGCCCCAGGCCAGTCAAGAATGAAAAGTAAAACTTCTCCTTACCTCCTCCTTGGCGGGGCCTTGATACGAACGCATGCTACTCTCGAGCAACTTCTCTTTCGGGTAACCAGATTTCCTCTTCTCCTTCCTTCGCGCCTTCAGGGAAACCAAGAAACGCTCAAGAACAAGAGAAACCCCCCCCCCCCCCCAAAAAAAAAAAAAACTCACAAGAAACGCTCGAGCGAACAAAATGCCATGACGGCGCAAGCGCAGAGGCAGAAACCATCACCTGTTTCCGATCATCAGACGCCGACATCGGCTTCTTTCCCTTCCGATCGGCCGCCGCAGCGGCGGAGCTCGATCCGTCGGTGCGGCCTCCGTCTCCGGGCTGCGGGGTGCGCCTATCGGCGGACGAGGGAGGCGGCGGGGGCGCAACGGCGCCGCCCTGGGCTGCGGCGGCGGCCGAAGAAGCATCGGTGGATGAGGCGGCGGCGCGGGAGCCCTGGTGCTCGCGTGGGCGTTGGCCATGGACTGCGTCTTTTGCCGAGAAATTGGAAATTCTGCTACTGCCGAGAGTGGGTTCGCCACAACGCCATTCCGCTAAATGGCATCCTTAAAATGCCATTTCCAACCGATACCAAACCGTTGCTTTGACATATTGGCCATTTCACAAGATTTTCACCATTTTTCCCACTTCAATGGACTAAAATAACCCCCTCTCTCATTCAATGGACTAAAACACCTCCTCCACCGTGCCGACTCCTCTCCCACCAGCTGTGCTGCCGCCTCTCCCTACCGACGCCTCCCCTTGGCCCCGCGACGCTGCCGTCACCTTGCCATCAGACATGGAAGCGGCGAAGGAAGCAGGACAAGAGGAGGCGTGGGTGAGTGGGGTGGCGGGGGAGATGGCCAGGAGGAGTAGGAAGGCCGCCTGGCCTGCGCGGTGGAGCGGAAGCAGAAGTGGCGCATGAAGCTCGTGCCACGGTGAGCTCCTCTTTCTCCTTGGCCTCCGCCACCATGAGCTCGGTCGCCATTGGTGGCAGACCGAAGGGCATTTTTGGTAGCCCGGGTAGGAAATCAGGTGGAAATGGAATGAAATGATCCAAATGGCAAAACAAATGTATGCCCAGTCTTGACAGTGGCATTTTAACGACGTCATTCCGCGGAATGGCATTGTGGCAAAATCTTAGCAGCGGTAGAATGTCCAATTTCTATTTTTTTCATGGCCCGCGCCCATGGTGGCTTTCAGGGAAGAGTGGCGGGGGCTATTCGTGAATTCCTCTGATGAGAGGGGGCTAAGGAGAAATGTACCAAGGGTGTGGTTGTTAATTCCAGAAAGGCAGGAGGGCTATTATAAAGATAGCAGGCTGTGGTATGCACGTAGGAGTACTTGCTAGTTTGGCCTTTTCTTTTTACAAGGAGTATATGTTTTCTGAAATGGATCCAACAATATGTTTTTGCAGAGATGGATCCAACAATTTTAGAGGAAAAACAAAGTATTTGGATTTCTAAAGATTAATTTATATGAGTTTCATTCGGTTTGTAGAAGTGTAAGTACAGAATAAGAAAATCAAAGTAATGTCACTTTCCTACAACTTGCAGAGAGACACATAGGAAATTTTCCATTCACTTAAACTTCTTGGAAAAAGTTATGGATCGGTGTGTTACATGCATTCCTATTCCTTAACTTTTCCTATTTCTACTAATTGAAATTCCTCCAAACCAACAAACCGAATAAGCTCTTACCATGTGAAATTAATTAACATTTCTTCATATTTTAATAAGATTATTTCAATAAATTATTATGGACTTACATATAAGGCTTACATGCTTTTATTGGCTGCGGCTATAGATTGTACTGCAGCAGCTAGCTCTTCCGAGCACTACCAATAAAACTATAAAAGCTTAGAGGGTTATATGTAAAAATAATAATTTATCTGCATGCACTAACCAGTTTAACCTAAAAGCTTAAAAATATTCCGATATTTTGGAAAACGTTTTATGTCTGTTAAACTTCCATTTCTATTGATGGAAGTGGCAGAGTGTGCCTCTCTTTCTCCGAAAGGAAAAAGAAAAAAAAAGAAAAATCAGTTTTGCTAAAAATATGACCATATTTTTACTTGATTCCCTATGTGTTTTTATCTCTCTTATATGTTTATATCTCTTCTTTCTCTTTTCCTAAATAGGCAATCAATTATTTTTTATTTATCTTAATTCTCTTGTATACTGTGTACTAAAAAAATAATTATAGCTTAAGTGTTAAAAGTTACGGTGTGTGTTATATATATATATATATATATATATATATATATATATATATATATATATATATATATATATATATATAGGACACTCATATGGGGCACCATGGTGCCCGGGCACCATGGTATCTAATGCACAAAATCACTCAAATTTTTCAAAATTTTCAAATTGTGAGTATATACCTAGTTATAATAATTCGATTCATACCTATACTTATCAACAAAACAACTCAAATTTAACTTTATTTCACAATCCATGATTACATATCTAACTAATTATATATATGGATGCTATATACCTATAATCAAAATCTAACAAAAACAAGTTCAAATTCAGTTCAAACTTGCTTTGAACTAGTTAGTAAAGTAGTTAATGTTAATACCTAAGTAATTGAAAAAGTTTCATACTCATTTGAATTGGGTATATACTCAATTTCAACAATGGTGCCCGGGCACCATGGAGCACCAAACAAATTTACTATATATATATATATATATATATATATATATATATATATATATATATATATATATACCCCTCCCCTACTTCCTAGAATAACTATTCTACACCCCCCTCTCTCATGGGCGATATTGCTCTCTAAAGATTGGGATTTACTTTTTTTAAGTTCTCGTGTCGCTGGAACGGCGTAGTAACGCGACGATCAATGTGCAGTAACACCACTAATTTCCGCAGTAACAACGTTATAAAAGCATTTTTGTGTCGATCATCGTGTAGTAACTTTTAGAACCGTTCTCACAACGCTGTAAAACGACGTTACAACGAGACAATAAAACGGTTCTAAAAAATAATATGCGATGTGAAAGATATTATTGTTTAAATATTAGAATTCTAAAAGTTTACTTGTACTAAACTTGCTACTACGTATCTTTGTATGGACAAAGAAAAGTACTTTTAGCACTTGTGTTAACTTGTGACCATGCACATGAACTTTTTTAGCACTTGTATTTTGCACAAGATGGATATTTTAAATTTAGCTATGCACAAGCAGTGGTACTGCAGTAGTACCGTTACTACCATATGTTCTCTGTTACTATAATTTCGTCATGATGTTACTGCAATAAGTGCAGTAACGACCTATACATTGCGCAGTAACGGCCTATAAATTTCACAGTAACATATCGTGTTACTGCAGTTCTACGATAATGTTACTACCGAATCATAGTAACAAGATATGACTTCCTATAGTAACATGACGGGTTTGTGTTCTTAAAATTTGAACAGATATATACAGAAAGAAAACAATGATCTTAAATCAAAACGTGTCATAAGGTGGATTGGTTAGGGGAGTTTGTTATGAACCATGAGATCATGGGTTCTAGTTTGAATTCACCAATTTATTTTTAATTTTTCTAGAAAATAGAAATGAAAATGAGAGATTGGAGAGAAAAAAACAAAGAAAAGAGAAAAAACGAAGAAAAGAAAAAAAAGAAGGGGGAGAGAGAGAGATCGGGATGGGGAGGAGGAGGAGAAAAGGCGAAGGAAAAAAAGGAGAGAGAGAGATCGGGATGGAGAGGAAGGAAAAAAGGAGAGAGAGAGAGATCGGGATGGGGAGGAGGAGAAAGGAGAGAGATCACGCTGGGGAGGAGGTGCTGGGAGGAGGAGGGGGGGGCGGGCGCTGGGAAGGCGGGGCCGGCGCGGATCAGGAGGGAGGTGGAGCCGCGCGTGATCGGGGGAGGGAGGGATGTGCTTGGTAGTTGGGCTAATGGGGGAGGGGTGTAGAATAGTTATTGTATATAGAGTAGCTCTATTATTTTTTATTTATCTTAATTCTCTTGTATACTGTGTACTAAAAAAATAATTATAGCTTAAGTGTTAAAAGTTACGGGGTAAGTTTTATATATATATATATATATATATATATATATATATATATATATATATATATATATATATATATATATATATATATTAAATACAGTGTAAATGCAAATAAAATTTATCGTGTGAAAAAACTGACGGATAATTTTTTTTTCTCTAAAAATGCATCCTAATGAAGAAAAAAAATCAATGGTCGAGCGAAAACATTGGGCGACAAGTTTAAGCAAGATTCTTAACAACACGCCAACACCGCCTCGTGCCTCGCTCCTCTCCGACTCCAGATCAAACGCCTCCTGATAAAAGCTTCATCTACAAATTTACAGGACGAATTCTAACACGACACGAGTATTCGAAGGCCAAGTTACAACATAAACTCCTCTACGGTTAAGCAAGATTCTTGATTAGAAAAAACAGCACCTATTTAATTCACAATGCAAGTTCACAACTCAGAATGCATGATTAAGCCAGATAGGCCAGCTGACAACACAAACACTGCGGATAAGTAAGATTCTTTAGTAGGAAAACAGTACGAGGTTATCTTTGCATTTGCAACGCTTCAAAACTCCCAGAAGGTACAATAACAAGCCCAGGAGGTAAAACTGGACAATTCATGAGGGATGGACAGAAAACAACTCCACACACATGTATAAGAATAGACAAGAAATGAGAACTGCAATAATGTGGATTCATTTGATCACAGCTACCAGCATATCAAAATCGCGAGCCAAAGCCATGTCAAAGATCGATTGAGTTGTTCTCCAGGAAGGATCAATAGAGCACAATTCAGGAAGGATCTTCCTCAAAAAATCAGGAAGGATCAATGTTAATGTTCCTTCTCCTCACAGGGAAACAGAAGATCTCCTATTCTTCATCGATCCTAGTTACTATGAGCTTCATCAGCTCAAGACTGTTTCTTCTTGGAACCACCTGAGCAGGAGTGGAACCAGCTCGCTCTCGCTGCCCCTTGACTAGATACACTATGCTACTGACCTCCTCCTCCTCGTTCTTCTTGTTGTTGCGACAGCCGTTGCAGATTTGAATCTCCACCTATGCAGCAGTAGAACCTGCTCGCTCCTCCACGCTTAGCCCTTTGGTGAATCAACTCAGGAGAGAGTGGGTAGACAATGTCATACTGAGAGTCCATGCGCAACAAGGTCACACGGGGTCTGTCACGGGCGATGTAGTAGCTATCTTGGCGACCTCCATATTCTGGCGCCTCCACTCGGATGAACACCTGAAGTGCAGCCGCCAAGGCTCTTACTGCAACCTCGTCTGCATACACACGGGGAGGAATAACCTGTGTCGAGCACCACTGCATGCAACCAGAGCAACAGGTCAGTCAGTGTCAAGAACAAATATAGTTGCATTGACAGTTCATGACGGGTTTCTCTATGGGAAGTGATGCTGGCAACTAACATCTTCCAGACTGCGACCTTCTCCAGGCCCAATCACACCCGGTGCATACATCGTTATGTGGTCGGGCGAGCACATCCAGATTGCTGCTGCTAATCTGAGGAAAGCAAAAACTGACAGGACAGAATGCAGAATGCATATGTCAGAACCATGAATTAGGATGACATTGAAACAACACGAGCTTAAGGTGTTTTTCTCACTATCATCCGTTGTATCATAACTGCTGAAGAACTCGAGGAGAAATTCACCCCTGTTGTAGCTGAAAAAAAAGGTGAAGCTTCAATCAGTGGGATGAGATGGGATATATTTAGAAACAACACTTATGCAGGAATTGAAGAAAACTAACCGTTTCAAAAACCTGACTCTTAATGTTGGGTACTGCAACATGCGCTTCCATCCCTTTATTTTCTCTATCAGCTTCTCAAATGCCTGCAAGAATCAATGATACGATAAGTCCCATTAGGCAATCATTACATATAGCTGGCATCTTGTACCCACTGAAGAGTTTAACTTGTATGTTACATAGACGCTTACAGAACGCTGACCATCAATAATCTGACATGAACAAGCATGACTAACATAACTTGTCTGAGAAGCTTCCATAATTGAACATCAAGTACTAAGATAATCAATAAAAAGAATATTTTATGAGAGAGTGGTAAGAAGGCGCGGCATTTGTGGTTTAGGATCAGCCGACCAGATGGATACACCATGAAGGACCATGTTCGCAGCACTTCAGACTTCAACGTAAGAGGACATGTTGTGATTTCACTTTATTATTAATACTGCCCAACTGCAAAATTTCTCGAAAGGTTGTACATTTGTTGTAATTAGGTCAAATTAACTTTACATATTTATAATTGGAATTAATGTCAACAGGGTGTAAGAGTGTGGTGTAATGCCAATATTGTGAAACACTGCATCTCCTGCAAATGATAAAACAAAGAAAGTAAGACAAAAGATCCAGCCTGCCTTGCAATACTACAAATTTTAAAGAACAGTCCATTACAAGCAAGTTTATACAAGAAAAACAAAATATAGGGAAGGCGAGAGATTACTTCGCGCCTCCGGGGAAATTCAGAGGCCCACTGAAAATGTTCAGCCCGTCTAGCCAATTCTCTAACAGCAGCAAGAAGGCGATCTTCCTCACCCATGTCTACTCTATCAACAATTTGCTCCTGTAAAAAAAGAGGGTTATGACACTAAACATACATTATCCTATGCTAGGGAACAGAGAGGTGGACACTTACCAGGTAGGAAAATATGAAGCTCCTGTAGAAACTCTCCCCATCTCTATACACTGGCCTCAATGCTGAATAATGACTATGAAGAGGCACCAAGCGCATAATGATAACTGACTCCCTTTCCCTTTTCGATAGCCTCAGAACATTATGGATGTCCCCAAAATAATGATACACAGCTTCTTCCATGGGAATTTTCTGCACCTCACAAACAAATAAGGGAATTTAAAAAATATCAATGATCTGAACCAGCGAGCAACATGACAAAAAAATGAAATGTAATTTATGTTCTAAGCACCAGTTTCTGGATTTTACATTCTCTGATAAATGTTTGAAAAAATTAATTAAAATAATCCCTTCATTTTTATTGTTTGACTGTTGTTCAGTCATAGAAGATGGGCTAGATACACAAGATTTCCTAAATTCAGCAACAGTAGTAGAACGTTCAAGTAGCCATCACAATCAAATCGGCAAATCCTTTCAATTACATGCAAAACATAACTGCAATCAAGAGTTAACTTATGATTTAGAGTGCATACAAGAAAATATACTCTGTCGAATGGCTATCTGTACAAGTGTGAATGTACACAGTATCATGTGATCTATCATCCTGACATTACATAATTCATACACTTGCGTTTCAGCATTATCAAATGTTGAAAGGAATCAAACCTTGTGATCCACATGAGGTGGCGAGTTTGACGTGCTTGCCTCATCCAGTTGCTTTCCTTGTCTATCTGAAAGCTATTTACAAGATAACAGGTTAAGATCATATGTTCTACCGGACATGGGCAGCATCTCAGAAAATTGATATCAAGATCAAACATTTCAGACTAGGTTGAATAGGGAATACATGTTATTCTGAAAAAAAATAGGAATATATGGAACTTTTAAACAACAGATGAACAACGATGCTACGACCTATGAGTCTTCTGGGACAATTCCAAGCAGCAACTGAGCCAAAGGCTGGATCTTTAGACCAAACACTAGAGTATGCTCAGTTAGTTTGCATATAAAAGGCTTCTATAATTTAGAGAAACCATGACCAGTGATCCAATTCTCAAATACACATCCAGACAAAACCTTCCTTACAACACTGTCCAATAAAACTGAAAGCTCATACTTCTGGTTTCACGATTTCTCACCAAAATATAACAGCAGTCATAACGTGCCTCAATATTTCATATTTTCACACTAAGGAACTTGTGAATAAACAAAATATCATGTGAACTAGGATTCTCATTATGACCTTTCATGATTTATACGGCATGTTCAACACTATCAAGGGTTAAATGGAGTCAAATCTTGGTGATCAGCAAGAAGTGATAATTGTGGGTACATTTGCTTTTCGGAATTTCATTTCAACAATGTATTCGCCTTCCTTTTATAATCCAAAAGCAATTCACAAGAAAACATGTTAAAGTTCATGCGTATTGTCAGATTTAGCACCAATTTCAGGTAAGTAATATCAGAATCGAACATTTCACACTAGGAAACCAGGGAACATGGGATGTAAGGAATATTTTAAACAACATAAAAGCATGATCACAAAACTAGTGTTCCGCAATTTGTTGCCAATTATCCTTAGAGCCTTCATAGCCAATTTCAGTTACCAAGCAGCCGAAGGATGAATAATTTAGACCAAACAGTAGAGAAACTTTCCCAAGAACCGTTCCACATCTCAACACACAAGCTGAGACAAGAACCGTATTCTAAGCAACAGGATTGCTCCTACGCAAGATGATCCCCAAGATTTCACAGGAACGACATGATCCAAATCCAACCTTCCCAACACAAAAGATGGCACAACTGCACAGGAATGCCCAGGCCAGCCAAGAATGACAAGCAAGCCTCTCCTCACCTTTTTCTTGAAGCCTTCAGAAACCGCAAGAAAGCTCCTCCTGATGAACTTCTTTAGCTGGGAATCGACCTTGTCCTTCTTGGCGGCCTAATCCAGCGAAACCAAGAAATGCTCAAGAACAAACCCCCACACCCCAAAAATACTCCCAAGAAACCAGGCACAAACGCCATCAAACGCAAGATAGGGAACCATCACCTCTTGCGAACCTTCGACGACCTTTCCCTTTCCCTTCTGGTCGCCCTCCGTGGCGGCGGAGCCCGATCCGCCGGTGCCGCGGCCTCCGCCTCCGCCTCCGCCCTGCTCCGGGCTGGCCTCGGCTGCGGCGGTGATCTCGTCGTCATCGGCGGAGCTGGAGGTGGACTCGTGGCGCTCGTCGTGGTGTCCTGGTGGGGCGGGCGAGGAGGCCATCGTGGCGTGGCTTTGCGGGGAAAAGCGGTGGTAGGGGGGCTGATTCGCTAATCTCGCAGAGGCGAGGGGGCGGAGGAGAAATGTGTGAAGGGTGTGGTTGTGAATTCCAGAAAAGTCAGGAGGCTATTTATAAAGGTGGCAGTAGTAGGTGATAATATAGCTGGCACTGAGAGGTGACGTGGCCTTTTTTTTCCCCCATTTTGCCTAAGATGAATATGAAAGTTACTACTTTTTTTAAAAAAAAATCGTTCACCTCTTTTCAAAGTATAATTTCTTTTGAATTAAATGAAAAAAAAATCAAATCTTCAAGATTGACTCAATAGCTTACATATGGCTCCACCAACAACCTTTAGTTTTGCACATCCCCTTTTCCCTAATCAAGAAATCCATCTAACATCCTGATCTTTAGAACCGAACTTCAAACCCCGAAACTTTGTAATAATGTTCAGATTACGTCCTACAAGGTTTGGGGTATTTGAAAGGTTTTGAATAACTGATATAGCATGTTAGCATATCGTCAATTATTGATAATCAATTATTCTATAGTGATGACAAACTAGTATTATATTAACATCCGTTTGTAAGTAAGAGAAAAACCAGGTGTCGAAACGAAAATCTTAGGTGAAGATTTTAACATATATGTCAAATTCATTTATCACGTGATCAAGCTCATCTAACATATATGTAAATCAAATAAAAATCACCTTAAGGTGTTATATAAACGATATTGTATAGTTTAGGCGGTTAAATATCCAGTTTCAAAGTTTAGGATGTTATAGACGCATTTTTGATAAAAAAGGAGAATATTTGTACCTTTTCATTTCTAGGTAAATGAATTTTCTTTTCATTTACAATGCAAGATACGGAGCTTAGGACATGTGTTAATAAACTTCTTCAGCTTATGGGGATCTTTCAATAGTATGATTCTTCGGAAATATTTATACTCGGTATTTCTTAGATGATTTTTTTCTAAGCTATTTTTAAGCACTATCTCTGTCCTAAAATATACCTACTTCATTCTAAAATATATAGCAATTTCTAACTATATATCATCCTTTCGACTTGCTGAGTTTTTTTAACAACTACAAAACCCCGTAAAGTTCGTTCATAGTGTCTCGGTACCAGACTTACCATCATTTTGTACCAATTTAATATGGTTTTACCCGCATAGTCAATATAGACATATGGTGGTAGTTGATAAGTTTCTCATCCACAAACACCTCCCATCGTACCATTCAGCTGTTTATAAACAGCTGCCAAACTTTATAAATTATTTTTAATTAGTCGTTCTATGACTGATAACAATGAAAAAAAATAAACAAAACCATCAAAAGTATTTTATGGTTAAAACTTATATATTTGTGTTCTTAATTATTTAAAAGTTAATTTTGGAAATAAAAGTTTGATGAAAAAACTTAAAATTATCAACTCCAAATCTAAGTTCTAAAATTTAAATTTCAGCTACAGCTAATAAGTCAATTAAAGCACGCACATTCTCCATTATGGCTGAGTATAACACTCCCCTCTTCTAACTTATACTCTCCATTTTTCGCGCAAACACTTCCAAATAGTTAAATAATGTATTTTTCAAAAACATAGGGAAAGTTTTTTTAAAAATCATATTAATATATTTTTATATTTTTAGCTAACATTTAATTAATATCGCGCTATTAAGCTATCTCATTTTCTGTAAGAAGGGAATAAGTTACAAACCTGTACTATCCAACTCGGCCTATATTGTGTTTGTTATGTGGGCCTAATCATTCGTTCTCTACTTCTTTCTCTCTAAGATTGTTTTGTCAAAGCTCAAAGGATTAGGTAGTGCATGGTAGTGGGTTAGTCTTAACCAGAGATCACTCCATCTCAATATAAATCACCTTAGTCTATGATGCATGTTTTTTTAACCTCTTTAATGACTTACATATTTTAAATCACAGATTACTTTTAAGATCTATTTGTATCATTGTACTCTACTCAAAATATATAAAAAAACGAGATCCATGCTGGATATATTCAAACATTTTATTAATTTAAAAGTAATTTATTTAAATTGTAGAAGTAACTTAGATATACAATAGAAGTAACTCTCTAAAACATTAGAGGTATTACTACTAAGTTGAAGAAAAAAAGTACTATGTGGAGTAAATTCATAAGCAAAGTATAGAGAATATTTTCAAGTAAATACATTAATGAAAGTAAATTCAATAAAGTTTGAAATTAGTTTACATAAATCATAAAAGTAACTTAGCACAAAATGAAAGTAAGTTGTTACAATATTAGGCGTAAATCTGTTGTAGGGATAAAAACATGAGTCTATCTAGAAATTCAATTTAACCAGCACAAATTATAAATTTAACTAAAAACAATAATTAAAAGTAGTTAACTCAGAGCATTATGAATGCATAAGGAGTAATTTAATCAAATCTAAAAGTAATTTATATATCTGATAAAAGTAACTTACATATATAATAAAAGTAATTTACAAACATAAATATTTGTTCACCATAATATAATCATGTAAGATCTTGTTATAAAGAATTAATTGCAATAAACATAATGGGGTAATCGTATTTTAGATTAGATAATTAATTTAAGATAAATTTTATTAGAAGGAAAAAATTATATGTATTACATAAAGTAAAAAATACATGCATGTTTTTACATTTCATGTATCAGTACTTCTGCGTCTCCCATTAAGTGTATGTGGAGAGGCCTCTTGATTTAAATTTTACCAAGCTCAAAGTTTGTAGGCAAAATACTAGCACGCCAATTAAATAAAAGAGTAAATTTCACAAAACTACAGATACTATAATCAAATTATCATAAAACTATAGATTTAACTCGGTGTATCATAAAACTATACATTTAACATAAAATTTATCACAAAACTACACATTTAAGATGTAGTGACACAAAATTACATGTTTAGTAACTAAATTATCACGAAAATGCATGTTTAGAACCAATTTAATCACAAAGTAATAATGTTTATAACTCCATCATAACAATGGTGCTAGGGATTTAAACTCCAAAAGTTGTAGTTTTGTGATAAGTTCAATATTAAATATGCATTTTTGTGATACTTAACCTAAAATCTGCAGTTTTGTGATAAATTTAGTGCTAAATATGTAGTTTTGTGATACAACTTCTTAAATCTGTAGTTTTGTGATAATTTGGTCAAAATACCTGTAGTTTTGTAAAATTTACTCTAAATAAAACTATATACATTGCTAAGACTGAAATTAAAGTGCTATGCAATGTGTAATTTTAATTCATTTTAGCTGCAATATTGTACATAATTTTAAAAATTTTATGACTTATAAGTTTATTTCATGTAATTTTTTTTAGAATTACACAGTACAACACAGACACTCAAAACGCACGCACACTCTTGTATGTCGGAATATTTTGGTAGTAAGCAATAGCAAAGTGAATGAGTGATATGACCATTGGATTAATATATTATCATCCAATGTATGGGAAATTTAAATATACTGCATTATATTTAAATGCAATATATGTAATTAATTTGTTTGGAAGAAAACAATACTGGTTGAACAGATATGAACAGTTAATAGAATAATCGACCGATTGTCTCATAGAAAAATGAATGGTACATGAGTTAAACCAAAGAATTCAGGCCTACAATGAATAAATTCGTCTAAGGAACCCTACGCTACATTAGATGAATTCATCTCAACAAACAGCTATGGTTGTCTACGTTAGAGCAAGGGCAGGGTCCTCTTCTTCCACTGGAAGAGTGTATTCATCCCTCGAGAAAATACCCTTGTTTCTTTTATGCCATCTAAATAGTTATTAAAAATTAAAAATTAACAAGATAGATTAATATAAAATATATCAATCCACAGACATGCAGATTTAAATTCAACTTCTACAAGTTATAAGAAATAATTATGAAATTTTAATTTGTTTTTTATAACTTGTAGAGGTTAAATTTGATCTTACATATTTGTAGCATGATATATCCCATACTCCCTCCGTTTCAAGTTTTAAGACTTTGACTAAACCGTTTCAAGTTTCACTAAATCTATAGACAAATATAGTTATAGCTATAATACTAAATTAGTTTCATCAAATCAATAATTGAATATATTTTCATAAAAAATTTGTCTTGGGTTAAAAATTTTACTACTTTTTTTCTACAAACTTGATCAAACATAAAGCAGCTTGATTTTGACCAAAGTCAAAACATCCTATAACCTGAAACGGAAGGAGTATTAATCTATCTCATCAATTTTTAATTTTTTATTACTATTCATATGACATGTAAGAAACGAAGGATGTCACCTAGACGAAGAAAATCCATCTCTGCTTCCACTGCCGCCCATCAACATCTGTGTGGCGAGCCGACACCGCCATGTCGCCATGATCCTCTGTGGCGAGCCGCGCGCATCGACGAGCGAGGCTATGGCGAGAAGACCACGTATACGATGCAGCGGTCGAGCCGCAGGTCCTGCAGCGACGCGTCTCCGCGCGGCGGGATCTCCTCCGACGCGCCGCCGGCGAGCCGCACCAGCCGGAACGGCCGCCCCGCCATGCCGCACGCGGCGACCGCCGCGCCGCAGTAGCGGAACAGCGCCGCCACGGGCCGCGCCGCGTCGAACACCCTGTCGAACACGCGCCCGTCCGGGAGGCGGACCCGCACGGCGCACGCCGCCTCGCCCCGCGCCGCCGGCCCGTCGTCGCACACGGTGACGTCGACGAGCCGGGCGACGAGCTCCTCCATATCGTCATCGGCGCCCCGCCCCGGCGCCGCCGCCATCTCCATGCCCGTCGCCAGCTGGTTGCTGCCGCGCACGGCGACGGCGTCGTTGAAGCGGGCTGTGAGCTGCTCCATCTCCATGCTCGCCGCCGCCGCCGCCGCCGCCGTCGATTGATCAGAAAGCTCGACCACCGGCGCCGCCGAGAATCGGCAATCTTGGACTCTGGTTGGCGGCATGCTCGATGATCGGATGAAGAAGGGTGGTTTGGCTTCGTGAATCGTGCGTGATGTCCGAGGAGACGACGTCTCGCTCGCTCGCTCGCCTGCTCCTTTTATGGCAAGCGCGCGCGCGTTCGTGCGTGCGTCGCTGTCTCCGCGTCGGTGTCAGTGTCACAGGGGCGGATCCGAGTCCAACTTGGGACATTGGGGGGGGGGGGGGGGGGGGTTCAAACATTTGCGGGAACAAACGAAACTGTTACTACTACTTGTATTAAGGTTAGGGCCCGCTTCGAAGAGAAGGGGTTAACGAACGCAAAGCAAATTTCAGACCAAATTAAACTATTCCCGGTGGGAGTGAGAGATGAATCAGAAATATCCCATCCCCTGCTCTGCTCGCCAGATGGATATCGGCAGCCGCGACTCGTCTTGGCGCAAGGAGCGGACGAGACGACTGAGACGGGAGATTTCTCTTTCTTTTACGCAAGTGATAACATTACAAGACTGCTAAGGTTAAGCAATGTTCTTAGTAAAACCAGACGAATTCATCTCCCATCTGAGGTCAAATGTTCAACATTTTCCTGTGTGTGAGCAGTAACATTTTAATGTACTCCTCCGTCCCTAAATATAAGATTTTTATGGGAATAGCAAAATGCCCGTGCGTTGCACCGGGCAATGTTATGTTTGATAAAGTTTAACTGAACATTTTTTTAATCACAAAGGTTTTCTTTTTGTTTAGACAATTATTCCACGTGTATGTGTATGATATGAACTATGTTCCTAACGCGGTAGCGTAATGATTATATCATAAGAGGAACAAACGGTGAATGCCTTAGGTCACTTTCACGTAAGAGTACATAGACAAAAATTTGTGTGATTAAAAAACTTGTATTTAAAATAGGTAAGTTTATTATAAAACTAATAAAACCAGCTTTTACATACTTACTCATAGTCTCGTAGTGGTGACACATGGATGATATATAGCGCATAGAATTCAGTATGTTGTGTTTCGTGGAAATTTTTATCTCAAACAAATATTAGAGTAAAAGTTTCGATGATTATGATGTCAAAAATAAAAAAAATAACTAAAATAATATCACTCGTCTATTAAGTATGTACGTGTACCTTAACAATTATTTTTTAACGGAAATTAATTTGGTAGATTAGCAAACTATAGAAAATTGACCGCAATTAACAAGTATACTATAATTGTAGTTTTTTTTAAAAAAATATCGGTTGCCTGGTCAGATAGGCTTATCTCTCTCGCTATACATTACGATTGAAAAAGTTAATGAGAATTCTAATATTGGAATTGCTATACACTATAAATTAAAAGTTAATGAAAAAGTTTTCTTGGTTTTGGACTGAAAGCCCATTCCTTCCTTCTTATTTAGCTATAGGCTAGTCTGTTCTTTCTGTTTTCCCAATATCAGAGCGTAAAATTTAGGATTAAAAGACCAGAAAGATCACCGATCTGTCATCAACGGTGACGGGAGATTCAATCCGGCAAATTAAAGCTGAATTGAAAGGGAAAACTTGAGAAAATGATGAGGGAGGAGTGGAGAATCGATTTTTATAATCAATTGGAGGAGGAAACGCAAGATCGACATGGCGGCGGCGCTGTGCTAGGATTCGGCCCGGGCGGCGGCAGGAGTTCGGATTCGGGAAAAAAAAAGCGACAAAAGACCAGACGAAAACAAAAAAACAACGGACCAAAATATACCGGAAGCTTTGTGTTTTTGTTTTTTTATTAGATATAGATATAGATATATATTTTCTGAGTAATCGATCATAATTTTTCAACCATTTTAAATGGCTCAAAATAATGCCAAAGAAAATTATGTACATAACCAAATGAATTAAATCGGCGAAATTAAATAAAATCTTATTTTGGCCCATTACTTCCGTAACCGGCCCAAAAAATTGGCGTGGCCCGTTTAGCGCGTGCACACGAGATGATCGCGCGGCGAGCGGCCTATCTAACGGTGATGGCCCAACGCGGGGCGAACTGAGCATAGCCCAGTTGTCTTTTGTGGCCCAACAGTGGTGGCGGCCCGACCTAGGGCCGATCTGAGCCGTCCGATCTGATGGATGGTTTGGATCGGTCCCGTACCGATGAAATAACCGGCCGAAGGGGGCATACGAAAACCTTGATCTCTGACGAAATCGCCGGCTGATGAAATCCCCTTTCTCCCCTACTCTCTCCCCGATCCAATCTCCGGCGACGCAAGAGAGTGGACGGCGATGATCCAGTCTTTCTTCGTCTGTCTCCCTCCTCCACCCAAGTTGTCACCGACCAAATCGACCACCAGCTCTAAGTCGCCTTTGCTGCTTGCGTGGATCCTGTCGTCTCTCCGCCTCCCTCTCGCGTGGATGCGTCGTCGATGGCGATGGGAGGGGAGGATCTGGCGACCTCTCGGCAATGGCCCACCGGTAGCTACGATGGCCGAGACGCGCGGGCGGTGGATCTGGTGTTAGTGGAGGCTCGAGGGCAGTGGCGAGGCTAGCGGGCGACGGATCCACTGGCAGGGGAGGCTCGAGGACGCGGAGGCAGTTGAGTTCTGGTGGCCTCATCCTGAAGTTACTGCAGCCGCCTGCTTCCTCGACATCGCCACCCATGGGAGTCGCCGCCGTAGTGAATCGCCTCCCGGTTTCTTCATTGATGCTCCCTCAATACCTCAACACCCAAGAACCTTGCCGATAAGGGCCGCCGCCATGTTAGATCCGTGGAATCTTGTTGTAATTATGGGGTTGATTCCATCCCTTTTGTGTTGAACTTGTATCCCTCTTCCCTCGTTTTATTTGATTTTGTTTAAGTGGGGAAGGACGACGTACGGACTCTCGGACTTACGGCCGAAAATACGGAAAAAAAGAGAGGTGATGATCAGAAAGTTTTGAATTTTTTAAATAGTTAAGGTTAAGATTTTTTTTTTTGAAAAACCGACATCTGTTGTATATTTATAGGTCCCGTTTTTAATCTATACAAATCTTGTAGCGTATGTTCCTTAAAAAAAAACCGACTCCTATTAAAAAACCGGAGCCAACCTTATCCCCACATGCCATAGCTCACAGACGCCATCCATCCATCCTTATCCACAGACCACAGCCGCCACACTCCCACCCACCGTCAGCGCCACCGCACACCATCTCCTTGCCACCACCATCCCTACCTCTGTCGCATCCACCTACTGCCACTGGCCCCCGTCACGTGGCCACGCCTCCTCAGCCTCATCGCCGCCTTCCTCCTCCCTCTCCCTCTTGGTCCAGAGGCAGCAGCGGCGCAGGGGCGGGTTAGCGGCTCCCGGCCCAGCGGCTGCATTGCGGCTCCTCGACGCAGCGGCTGCCCAGCGGCGCGGCGGCTCAGGACCTCCACGACGGCGAGGAGCGGCAGCGGCCTCCCTCTCACCCCTCCCTCTCCCTCTTGGTCCAGAGGCAGCAGTGGCGCAGGGGCTGGTCAGCGTCTCCCGGCCCAGCGGCTGAGCTGCGGCTTCTCGACGCAGAGGCGCGGCACGGCTCAGGATCTCCATGGCGGCGAGGAGCGGCGGCGGCCTCCCTCTCACCCTTCTCTCTCCTCTCATATCCTATGTGATGTGATTTATTTTGTGATTTCCACCTCTTCTCTCATCTTATGTGTGATTTATTTTGTGATGTGATTATTGGATTGTCTCCTGTGCTTGATTTATTTTGGGATGATTTTGTAATGATTCCGATTGGATTGGGATTTAGTTTTTGGGTTAGATTTGTGATGATTTGGGATTGGTTGTGGGATGTTCAGAGCGGACGCTCGTTGACAGATGAAGCGGAAGAAGGTGCTTCTGCTTTAGTTTTTAGGGATTTGGGATTTGTTTGTGTATTTCTTTGTAGTGTCGATCTTGTAACAGCGAATGGGAAACTGATTTTCTGGGATTATCGGTCGGTTTTGATGTTGTGATTTGTCCTCCAATTATAATTTTGTATCCTCTCAGAATTTTTTTTCTTTGGCCGCTGTACACGATTGCGTTCACACGGAGAGAGAGGGCACCGCTCAGTCAGACATTTACGGATGAAAAATTTGTGACGAAAGGAAAAATACTAATCTTTTAGTTAGTTAAGATGTGACACATGCTATAGGCTATATTCGTTGAACTAGGATGTATCATATCTCACTAAAATCTCTTATATTTAGGGACGGAGGGAGTATAACTTGATGAAGGAATTATCAACATTATTGCTTTGAAACTGTTGAATACAAAATGAAATCCTAGAATTTGCGTATGTCTGATTAGAAAATGTGACAATGCCAATGTAGCAGGTAATTTCTTTTAGAAGGTAATTTCTTTTAGAGTAAATTTCACAAAACCACATCTCTACCCATACTAATACTACATTCAGTGGTTCAACAACAGTGGCCGCATTAAGGTAACACAATTGGTGAGATTAAATTTTGCAATTGGTTATTACTGTGATTTTGTTGATTGCGATGTCGTACCTATGCATGCTTGCTCCTTGCTCCTTGCTGTTGGGTAGACTTTCACAATATGATAAAAACACGTTGCATCATGGTAGAACAAAATCAATACTCCTTTGTGCATAATAGAAAAAAAATTGTGTTGCATCCTATGACTCTTGAAGCTGTTTTTGAGAATGATGTTGCTAGAGCTAAGAAAGAGAAAAATGTTGAGCATGCTAAAAGTGAAAATCAGATTGTAGCAAAAGAACTTGTACAACATAACAAGAAAGATTCTAAATCTGAACATGGTAAGGACAATGTGATTAAATCGAAAGGTCCTTGTTTGCTTGCCACTAAATCTGATATTGTCAATTTGGATACGAGTGACACTATTTGCTATGCTCTCATTTGTAAAGAGGCCTTGTTTCCTTTTGAGAATATGCCTATCTCTTTTCTTCTTGTGGTCACTAATTTTTTGCAGAAGTATTAGGATGTGTTTCCCAAGGACGTACCACCAGGGCTGCCACCGGTGCGTGAAATTGAGCATCAGATCAACTTGTTGGTAACAAAGATAGAAAGGAATTGAATTTTGAACCTGGAGATTTGGTTTGGTTGCGTTTGCGAAAAGAATGGTTTCCTAATTTGAGAAAATCTAAATGGATGCCTAGAGCTGATGGACCTTTTAAAGTATTAGCAAAGATTAATGAGAATGCATATAAGCTTGATTTGCCTGTAGATTTTGGGGTTAGTCCCACATTTCACATTGCAAATTTGAAACCGTATTTGGGAGAAGAAGATGAGCTTAAGTCGAGGACGACTCCAATGCAAGAAGGGGAGGATGATGAGGACATCAACACCATCGATACATCCACGTCCCCACAAGTACAACTTCATGATCCTATTACCCGCGCTCGTGCACGTCAACTCAACTATCAGGTGAGTTCATTCTTGAATTCATGTTCTTCTTGTTTATACCCCGGAGATGCGTGCACTCTTGTTTTACTCAGGAACGATGGGGAGGATCCAAACGGGGAGAGGATTCGCGCGGGGTGGATTCGGACTGCAGGATAGCGCCAACATCTGACGGCCGGCACGACTTCATGCGAACTCCGATTTGGGCGTGCAAGTACTTCATGGAAAGCTTATCAAGTCTACTTTCAAATGGATCCATTCCCATGTCCATATCTGATCTGGAGCAGCTGCAATCATCATTTTACTGTCGAGTACTTTTCTGTCCACGATGTTGCGTCACCTCATTTGGGCCCAATGTGCTGTATATCAAGTTGGGCCCATTAGGGGTGCGTCCTAGGGTTAGAGCACGACACCAACACCCCTGTGGTCGTTCTCCCCCTCTTCTTATACCTTTAGCCGCCGCCAAGAACACTTGGGCTTTGTTTAGATCAAAGTATAGCGTCGCTACTTGGCCGAGTTAATCCCATGACCAGTTAGATCCCCGGATTTCTTGTTGCTGAACTCCACTTGTGCTACTTCTGTTGATCTGATCCATCATCTTTGATTCGCAAATTGAGTTGCTTGTTCATCTTGTTCTTGCTAGTTCTCGATTGCTTGCAGGAACAATTACCCTTGTGGTTGGGCTGATCGTGCATTCCATAGAGATTTGGTGTAATGATTGCTAAGATGCAACATCCCTTGATAGATGTAGTCGGACCGCCAACGCCACTCCATCCTATCGACTTATCCTCTCATCGAAAGATCAGGCCAACAACAGCCTTGAGTGTCGAGTGAAACTCAAGGTTTATCATTTTGGGAAGGGACTCGTTGATTTCTGCTGCTATTTTCTAGTGCTTTTGTAGATCTTGTTGGCAAGAACTTCAGCGTTGGCTAGAAGGTCTCTTGCAAGAACAGTGCGATGGTAAGTATGACCAGTTTTCCGCATGCTTTTCAGTATCTAGAAAAAATCTTGTCTCGCTTGCTTCTATTGTTCATTTGATGGTCTGGAATAGTTTGAGTAGGACATGTTCTTGTCTTGCCTGATCGATTTGTTACTGTGGTGTGGTTTGAGTAGAATCTGGGTTTGGTTGTGCGTAGTGTAGGTTGGAGTTATCTCCGTGTGGCGAATTGGGGGCGGATTCAGGCCAGTGTGTTAGTAGAATTGATCTGTGGGTTTACTAAGTTTTGATTTGATTTGATTTTGCGTTGGGTTGGAGGCAGCGGAAGATGTTGCTGAGTGGAGAGTGCGTTTAACCTTGTTCAGTTTTCTAGCGTGTGTTGGATGGCGGTGAATCAGTGATCAAAGAGTATTTTGGGTATTTTTTTTGTTTCTATCCATGAGTGGAAATCTGTCAGGATTAGGATTGTGATCGAAGAGTCAATTAGGTTATCTGTTCCATCAATGGGTTGTATTTGTGTCGGTTTGTGTTTCTTGGCGTGGCAGAATTGTGCTGGTGTGTTTGTGGAATTGTTTTGCAGGTTTACTATTGTTTTGGTGGTTTGATTTCAGGTTGGATTGGAGAGCTGGAATAAGATTTACTCTTCCTCGAAGAGTTGGTGAATGGAGAGTGCATTTTATTTACCTTTTGTTTTTTTCATGCATGTGTTGGATGACGGGGAATTGCTGATGTAAGACCTGGTTGGGTTACTCTGTTCGATCAATCGGTGATCAATTTTTCAGGTTTCGGTTTGTGATCGAAGAGTCAATTGGGTTTTTTTTGTTCGATCAATGGGTTGTCAATCTATTAGGTCTTGGTTTGTGATCGAAGGGCATTTTTTCTTTTGTTATGGGTGTTCAATCTGATAGTTTTCGGTTTGTGATTAGAAGTAGATTGGGTTTTTCTGCTTGCTCCATGGGTGGTCAATCTATGATGTTTCAATTGTTACAGACGATATTCTATTGTTAGTTTAGTGGTTGTTTTTTTTGTTAGAATGTACCAATTTCGTACTACGAGGTTCCTAGTGATAATTTTGTACGGTTTAATTTGGTCTGCAGTACTTGATCTTTCATCTTGTAGTTTCTATGTGTCAACTTGTGTGTGTTTTTTCTTTGTTTAATGGCTGTGAATTCCAGATTGTGTTGGTTGTTGTTTAGTAGGGTTCTAGTGATACGTGACAGATTAAAATGTATATCTACTATTCGATCACAGAACCGAGAATTGATAAGTCTGGGATGAGATCTGTGAAATTGATATTGGCAGGTTGGTTGAAGATGGGGATTAATCTGCAACCATTTGTGCACAAACTCATTTGGAATGTCTTAGTTTTTTGGTGTGTTTTTGCTTCAAAAATAGGATTATGTTGATGCTGGCTTGATCAAATTGAACTGGGTTGGTTGCAGGGTTGGGGTTAATATGCAACCACTTGTGCCTGTACTGATTTGGAATATCTTATATTTGTTCTATTTTTGCTTCAATAATAGTTTCAATAACCAGATTATTCTTGCTGTGTATTTCGCCATTTGTGACTCCATTCTGACTCATTACCATGAACTTGCATGGTTGGTGCGATCTAGTACAAGAACTTGTAAAGCACTTGTTTCTTGTAGAAATGTTTTTGTACAAGTGAATTTAGGCCATAAGGGCACACCATAGATATGTTTATTGAATTGACGCTGATTTTGAAACCACGTAGTCATGCACATCTGAGTTGAATAATGATTTACATTTACCTATGAAAAAATATAAGTGTACAAGTTGGCACTTAGACCTTTGATGTATCATGATATCGGGAGTATGATTTCTGTGAAAAATTTGAAGGCTATGTAGATGTGCCACACGTTTTCAAGTCACAAAATTAGAAATCATTAATATTCATTGTGTCTGGGTCTATTAGAAAGTCCGAAGCTTCATTTGCCTGTTTATTTTTGGTATGTTAAAATATGTGTTGCCTAGTGTCCCAATCGTCTAATCAACATCCAACATAGCAATGTTATATATTTGGTGTCATTTTAGCATCAGTTAACATGCGCTACACAGTTTGCAAGTGTATTGCACCTGCTTCACAATTATGAGTTATTGTAGTACCAGCATAATTTGTTCTCACTATAAGCGTATTTGTTCTGGCAAGGTGCCAATTGTACAATGAATACCACTTGCATAAATTGAATTTGTTCTCAATGTTGTACAACGAATGAATTCTATACTAATTGTATTGATTAATTGAGTTTTCATTAGACCCTCGTGATGAATATCAATGATTTCTATACACTGGTATTGACTTGTAGTATACAATGATTGAATCGTTCTCAACATTGTACAATTTTTTTAAAACAAATGCATTGTACAATTAATTCTATACTGAAATGACAGTGTCGACCTGCATTATTTTGACTAGTTTTAATCGATGTTCTTGTTATTCCTTTAGCTCTGTCTAACGGTCAAAATGTTCATTTTTCAGCTCTTCTTGTATGGGAGCTTTTTGACTGGAGATGAGACCGTTGATCTTAAGAATGGCCTCACATGTTGCATCTACAATGTGATTTCAATGCTCACCATGGAGATGGCCAGAGTCTCGGCCGTGAACACAAAGACAACAAGATATTTGTTGGTATTTCTTATGATCACAGATAAATCTGCAAGCGTACAGAATATACCGATGTAGCATTTCACCCGGGAGTATTCTCAGGTATCGATTTTCACAGGGAATGTGTGTGCTAACTCCGGTTTAGGTTCATCCAAGGGCACGAAGCTATGGATAAGGAAAGGATAGAGAGGTTTCACCGATAAGAAATAGTGTCTATAGAAATCTCAACTTTAATCCTAATGCGGTACTTCGAGCACTGGCCAGCTCGCTGCTCCCAGATATCATTTTACCACGCACCCGGACAGGGAGGATTTCACTCATATTGAGGGCTGTCACCACCTCTACACTCACCTCACACCTACCGTGGGATGCGGAGCAAACACCGAAAATCAACTACCTAGACACCGCGTCTAAGCAATTAATAGCTACTCTAGTGTTTGTAACTCACTAAAGCAATCACTATATTATAATGGACTATAGTGAACGATGATCCCACACGCTAATTAGGAACTAACCAAGAGATAATTCTCACCAAGCAAAACTAAATTACTTAAAAGATATTTCTATTATAATCAGAGTAATTAACAAAGCACAAAGAAATAGGAAGGGGATTACCGACAACTCCAGAACTCCTCCGACTTCTTCTCCTCTACTCTCTCCCTAATCTAGTATATAATAAAGTACAATAGAGCATCTTATAATTCAGCTCATGCTTCAAGTGTCTGTGAATGAGGGTGAGGAGAGGGGTATTTATAGTGTGGAGGTGACTTGAGAGAGTGGAGATGCTAAGGAATATTCTCCATAGAATCCAAATAGCATCTTCCTTCTCCCTTTGCCATGTGTCTTCCTGATGACGGTTTCCACTGGTATTAACGCTCATAACCGTCATAAGATGAGGAGTACAACCATCATGCCGAAGCTGGATTGGATTGGGCCAGTTGCTCGAACCCTGGCTAGCCCATCCAGCTAGCCCTTTCTCTGGTGTTCTGACATGTGGGTCCCACTATATGTTCCAATGAAAATTGGCCAAGATAAATGGGCTCAACACTCCATAGGCTTGGCTATGGAAGTTATATTCTCATCCTTCATGTATATTTCATCTCAACTTTGGTGGGTTGCATTCTGCATACAAATATACATCAGCACTCGTAGAAATGGTTAGAAATAAATCCTACCACTATGTTGGATGTTTTACTTTTATGGTTTTATATAGGTACTGACGGCGAGAATTTTGTACTTAACAGCCGTCAACAGTATTGCAGCGCCTCATGTCATGCCTGAGGTCTGCAGCTTTGAAGCTGCACAGGGAGGTCCTGCTGCTTGGACAACACCCAGTAAAGGAACCGGCCGATGTGTGGAAAGGCCTTCTGAGGGGCTAGGTCCTCGATCTTATTCTTACCTTTCGCTAGTCGTAAATTCTGCTGCTCCTTCTCCCGGCCCTGCTACTCATATGTGACGTATATTCTGCTACTACTCCTGGTACTATGGATGTCCTATGAGAGACACAGAGAGTGACCTTTAAAATCCCGATGTTTCACAGTTCTACAATAGCTACTTCATCCTACGGAAGAATCTAGTATGAGAAACACCTGTTAGTGTTGTATATTCTGCTGCTACTATAATCTTGGTAGAAAAGACCTGTTAGTTACTGTGCTGCTACTAAGTATATTATATACAGATAATCCAGATCAGTTGTCTATGGTGTGAGCGTGCCCAAATTTTTAGTGTGAATTATTATCCGTTCTTCTCAGCACTTAGTTTAGTATTCATGAGTTAACTGATTATTTTCGTATAATCATCCGTTTACAAATAACGACCTTTTGACGCAAGTCTTCTGGATTGTTCTACTTGTTTACAAACACTCTGCTATGACAAATTTATCTTTTAGCGTACAAACAATGCAAACTGACCGGCAGGGGCGGATTCAAAAATAAAAAATTGGGGGGCTCAATTACACAGTTTCTTCAACCTCCAGCCATATAGGGACCTTTAGTTTATCATTCATGGTGAGAAAATTGAAGGGGGTGCTCCGGGGGTATCCATGGGTTTTGTGGGTGTAGGGGGGACTCGAGTCCCCCCTGCACCCACGTTGGATCCGCCCCTGCTGACCAGTAAATGCTAAATGCATGTTGACTCTACATAGCGTAATTGAGGTGAAGAAGGCCTTTTTTTTTTACCAGGAAATTTCCTACCTTGTAATAAAGATCATAGCGTCAATTGAGCGTCCATCTTCTTGTGTCGGGTCACGTGACACATAGGTTCAGATAGCACTGTTTTTTACATCTAAAAAAACAGGAAACAAAGAAAAATATATATGAAGTGTATTTCAGTATTTGCAACAGTTCTCATATCTGTTCAATTCACAGATTTCGCCCTCTTTCACTTTTCACTATGCTAGTTTATGCTAAACATGACAGACCATCATATATATATATGAAATTGTTTAAGAAAAGCATACATAAAGAACTTTATGTAGGCATTATTCGGTGCATAAAAGAGTAAGATGGAAAATATTTGCATAGCTACAACCAATGCATAATATGGACAAGAAGATCCGCTGGACGCCTTCATGTAGCTATGTGAATATCATTGAATCAGTCATCTTGCAGATAGAAAATGGTAGGCACAAGCTATAGGTGCGGACTGCAGAAGGTTTGCAATATGAGCAGTGAACACAAAATAAGGCATCCCTGTAAAAGCACAAAATTAAGAACTGGACACCAGAGGAAGAGGAGATTGACACTCCGTGGTGCTAAGATAAGATTTACCAGTAGAAGTTGGCAATCACTATCGACTTGTTCATGTGTGGGTGAAAGAACAACATTACGATAAATAGGTCATGTTGCTACCGATGTGAAAGAAAATTCATTAGTTCACCACTTAATTGGAAGTGGTGGTTGTTAGATATGTGTATATCAATGTAGCCTTAGACTTATTTACTATTGGCTCATGAGGCCCATACACCGCTGTATATACTATTGCTATCCTGGAATACACCGTACTGATTCAGCACAAGTCACATGGTATCAGAGCAAGGTTGCTCTTGCGATTCCCATCGATGTCCGCCGCCAGCGAGCTCTTCATCGGCCTTGGTCTCCGGCGAGTGTCCTCCCTCCTCTCTTCTCCCAATGGAAGTTTTCTGCTGTGTGTTCTGTTTTTTCGTGGTCACTTGATTTTTGGGATTGATCCTCTCTTCTTCTGGCCGGAGCATCTTTTTCTCCTGCTGGATCTGCTTGACTGCCTTTTCTCCTGCTTGAGGTTTGCATTATCCAACTGCACTAGCTGCAGTGGTGTTGGCTAGTTGCAGCCTGCAGGACCCGCATCCTCCATCCTTTGCTACTGCACTTGCCACCAGGGCTCTTTCCAACAAATCTGCCATGTGCTGGATCTCCTGTTGCTGATTACAGTACCTAATTACAGCAGCAGCAGCTCGGTGCAGCAGTGCAGTAGAAGTGTTTCAAGTGCAGCAGCAGCTCAGTCTTTCAGATTGCAACCATGGCATCAGATCCACTTGGTAATGTCAGTCTTTTGCCGTTGGATATAAAACTCAATGGCCAAAATTACCGTGAGTGGACTTCCTCTGCTCGTATGCAACTCAGGTCGTATGGTGTGGCCTCTGACTTGAATGATGATCCACCTCATGACAAGGAAGATGAGAAGAAAATTGCAGCTTGGCGGCGTAATGATGAGTGTGTGATGGCCTTCTTGTGCATGAGCGCTGAAGTCCCCGTTAGAACGAATTTCATTGATCTTTCTTCTGCTAAGAAGATGTGGGAGTATCTTCAACAACGCTATCAATAGAGCAGTGCGGCTCTCCGCTTTTCTCTTCGCAAGAACTTGCAGAGCCTTGAGCTGGGTGGCATGTCCATTGAGGAGTTTCATAGTGCCTTCACCTCCTTGTCTAGACAATTGGATTCCATGGTTGTCACGAACTGAGATTTCTGTGGCGTCTCGCCAGGATTCGATCTAGAGTTTCGAGAAGAATTTGAGATCGAGAGATAGAACAAAGCTATTTGGGAAAGAAATTGATAGAGATTTTTCTTTTCTTTTTTCATATCTCTCTCAGACAAGAGAGTTCCTTTTTAAAGGTACAAGGCAACTCAATCAGCGACGCGTCCGCCGGCCCAGCACGGCACGTCGCAAAACACACACACACAACAGCTCAAGGCCCAAATACCCATCAAGCCTACACAAGCACATAACCCAGTAAAGCCTACACAGAGTAGTGACAAAACCTGATGGCTACAGTAAGCTAATTACATAACAATCCCCCCTACTTAAGAAACGGCTTGTCCCCAAGCCGGAGCTCCTGGAAAACGAAGCTGAAGTTGACGCAGATTCTCCCATGTAGCCAGCGATGCAGGTAAACCAGTCCAGCGAATTAACCCGTAAGGAACTGCAGAATTACCTCTCTTAATGAGTTGACGACTAAGTATTTCTTCTGGAACCACCTCAGCTTCTTCAGAAACACAGTTTTCAGGAAGATCCGCCTGGACTTGTATGCCAGAATGAATCACCTTCTTGAGCAAAAACACATGCACTAATGGATGAATTTGGCTACTCTGGAGAAGATCCAGCCGATAAGCTACTTCACCGATACGTTCCAGAATCTTGTAGGGGCCAAAGTACATGAAACACAGTTTTTGACAACTCCTTCGTGCTACTATCATTTGCACATATGGTTGAAGTTTCAAATAAACCATGTCACCAACTGCAAAAACCCTCTCAGAACGATGCTTGTCAGCCTGATGTTTCATCCTCTGTTGTGCTCTAGTCAGTTGTTGATGTAGAACCTCATTCATATGAGCTCTGTTTTGCAACCAAATTTGCACATCAGGGACTGTACTTTTTCCAACATCAATAAGACCAAAAGGAGTTGGCTTCCTTGCAAAGAGCACTTCATAGGGAGATTTCTTCAGAGCACTGTGAAAGGATGTATTATACCAGTGTTGGGCCTGGGATAACCATTTAGACCACTGCGCTTAGGACATGAATGGACATTACAACGGAGATAAGCTTCCAAACATTGATTCAGCCGTTCAGTTTGTCCATCAGTTTGAGGGTGGTAAGAAGAGCTCATGTTGAGTTTGACATCAGCTAGTTTGAACAATTCTTGCCACAAGGCACTTGTGAAAATTCTGTCCCGATCAGAGATTATCACCTGTGGCATCCCAAATGTATCATAAACATTCTTGATAAAAGCTGTGGCAACTTGTAGTGCTGTGAAAGGATGAGAGGTATAAACTTAGCAAATTTTGAGAACTTGTCAACCACTACAAGAATTGTATCAAAGCCTTCTGACTTGGGTAAACCTTCAATAAAATCCATGCTAATGGTTGACCAAGCTTGCTCTGGAATTGGTAAAGGCTGTAGTTTACCAGGACTCTTACAATGTTCAGGTTTGGCTTGCTGACAGATGTCACAGGATGACACATACTGGTAAACATCTTTTTTCATTCCCGGCCAATAGAATAGATTTTTAATTCTATTATAGGTGGCTGTTATTCTAGAATGTCCTCCTAGCCCACTGGCATGCATAGCAAGAAGTACTGCATGTTGTGCTTCAACAAACTTACCCAGCCAGATTTTTCCCTAGAACCTGATTACTCCATTAGTCAAGGTGAAATGTTCTACCCCTACTAGATTGATTATCAGTTGAGCCAGCAACTGTTTTGCCTCCTCATCTTGATCATACCAATCAACCACAGATTCCAACCATTTAGGTCTTCCAACAGAGATTGCCGACAACTCCTCATCTGCATCCCTCCTAGATAAGGCATCAGCCACCCTGTTTTCTGCCCCTTGTTTATATCTGATCTTATATTGCAAACCCATCAACTTGATGAATGCTTTGTGTTGCATGCTAGTAGTCAATTTCTGTTCCCCCAAATGTGTAAGACTCTTGTGGTTAGTCTGTATAACAAATTCATTGTTCTGTAAATAAGCTCTCCATTTGTTAACTGCCATCAATATTGCAAGACACTCTTTCTCATAAGTGAACAATGCTTGAGCTTTAACCCCTAAAGCTTTACTCAAATAAGCAATTGGGTGCCCATTCTGAAGTAGCACAGCCCCAATTCCTTTATCACAAGCATCAGTTTCCACAATAAATTCCTGGGAAAAATCTGGTAAAGCCAACACAGGTGCTTGAACCATAGCCCACTTAACTTGACTAAATGCCTGTTGTTGCAATTCAGCCCACTTGAAAGGCACCCCTTTCTTGAGCAATGCAGTTAAGGGTCTGGTCATAATTCCATAATTTTTTATGAACTTCCTGTAATAGCTTGTCAGTCCCAAAAAACCCCTTAGCTGTTTGAGATTCCTTGGAACTAGCCAATCTTGAACAGCATGTACCTCGGAAGGATCTGTGGCCACACCTTGAGCTCCAATTATGTGTCCCAAGTATTCCAACTGTTGTTTAGCAAATGAACATTTGCTTGCCTTGACAAACAATTTGTGTTGCTGCAGAACTGCAAAGACTTCCCTCAAATGTTGCACATGTTCCTCGAGAGTTTTACTGTAAACTAGTATGTCATCCACAAATACCAGCACATTCCTTCTGATCATTTTGTCAAAGATTGTGTTCATGAGTCCTTGGAAAGAAGCTGGTGCATTAGTCAATCCGAAAGGCATTACTCTGAATTCATACAATTCTTGATGAGTCTTAAAGGTGGTTTTATGTTCATCCTGCTGGACCAACCGAATTTGGTGGTAACCCGATCTGAGGTCTAACTTTGTGAACCATTGAGCCCCTGATAATTCATCAAGCAACTCATCTACCACTAGCATTGGATATTTATTCTTCACTGTAATATCGTTCAAACCTCTGTAATCCACACAAAATCTCCAAGTCCCATCCTTCTTTTTCACCAGCAACACAGGAGAAGCAAATGGGCTTGAGCTGGGTTTAATGATGCCCTGGAGCAACATTTCCTTAACCTGCCTCTCTATCTCATCCTTTTGCTTGGGAGCATATCTGTAGGGTTTAACATTGACTGGTTTAGATCCTGACAGTAAAGGTATGCTATGGTCAAAACTCCTGTGAGGTGGTAGTCCTGAAGGTGCCTTGAACTGTTCTTGAAATTCCTTCAAGACTGCACTAATAGTTGGGGGTAGTTCAGTCTCCAAACTTTCTTCAGCAATTGAGCATAACTGAACCACTTGGGAAACTGCTCCAGTCTTAAGCATTCCTTTCAACTGCTTGGAAGTGACAGATTTACAATCAGACAAATTTTCCTTCACCCCAACTAGATTAATTCTCTTTCCCTGGTATGTAAACCTAAGCTTTTTCCTCTGCCAATGTATCCACATTGGACTATGATGCTCCAACCAGTCCATTCCCAAAATGATATCATAACCACCCAGTTTCAGAACCTTAAGGTCATTTGTGAAACTGTGTCCTTGACACCACCACTCCACCCCTATAGCCAACTTATCACACTGCATAACCCCACCATCCGCAATTATCACCTGAGATAAAGGAATATCTGTAACAGCCAACCCCAACTTTTCCACCAACTGTTGAGAAATGAAACTGTTGGAGCTTCCTGAATCAATGAGAATCAGAACTTCATGATTCTGTATCAATCCTTGCAACCTGATGGTCTTCTTTCCCATAGTTCCAGACACAACACATTCTGAGACAACAAGTTCCTCTTCACTACTCTCAGCCTCTTCATTCTGACACACCTCGTCATCCTCACGAAGTTGAAACACTTCCAATAATTCCTCAAGGACATGAAGTTGGACATATTTTGGACATTTGTGACCTGGTCCCCATTTCTCACCACACTTAAAACATTCTCCCTTTGCTTTTCTGGCAGCCTTGAGAGACTCAAAGCAATCCTCCCACTTTGGCTTTTCTTCTGTCTTGGTGGTGTCATCAGGAGCTTGTCCCAGTATACCTTTGCCTTGGTAGTTTACCCTGAAAGCTGTTGATTTAAATCCTTCCTTATAAGTGGACTTCTGACCTCCTTTCTTTATCTCCAACGCCAAATCTTCCTGCGTTTTAGCAAGAGACAAAGCCGCATCAACAGTTCTAGGTTTATGCAGCTTGATTGCTGCTTTGATTTCAGTTTTAAGGCCACCCACAAATTTGGTAACAAAATATGTCTCATCAAAAGCCTGATTATACACTAAGACTCTGTGCATCAACTCCTCAAATTTGCTATAATATGCATCAACCCCACTGGTTTGCCTAAGACTCTCTAACTCCTCTAAGTGCTCCTGATATTTATCTTTCCCAAACTTATTATGCACTACTACACAAAGTTCAGGCCAAGTCTCAACACTATGCAAAGCCTCATAAGTTTGCAACCACAGTGCAGCATTACCCACAAAGTGCAGAGTAGCAAAATTTGCCCAACTATCATAGGGAACTTGGTACATATCAAAGTATTTTTCAGAGTTCTTCTTCCACAGTTTTGGGTTATCTCCATCAAACCTTGGGAAATTAGTTTTTGGCAATCTAGGGCTACTGGATCGACTGCTAAACTGACTCTGCACAGACGCTTCACCCAAATCGAAATTGACGGGGGAAATCGGCAACCGAGACTTACCCTTGACCAGGGTTCGCTCATGAGCCACAAGGGCTTTGGATGCGTTGCCCTGGTGATTCTCAACATTGTCGGGTCCTACGGGCGTTTGAGCCGCCGCGAACGTCGCCGTCGCTAGCATGCTCTCCAGCTTCGTCACCCTTGCTGAGATCTCCTCCACCACATTGTTCAAACCTTGAATTCCCACATCAACCGCCGGAATCCATGTCTCCAGCTTGGTGAGTGATCCCAGGATGTTGTTGAGGTTGCTTGTGAGATTCACCACCTTCTGACTCAGATCTCCCAACTCAGTTTCCGCCGCCGCCATCCTCTCCGTAAGATTTGGACCCTTCTTCCTCGCCAGCGAGATCGAGGCTCTAATACCAAAATGTCACGAACTGAGATTTCTGTGGCGTCTCGCCAGGATTCGATCTAGAGTTTCGAGAAGAATTTGAGATCGAGAGATAGAACAGAGCTATTTGGGAAAGAAGTTGATAGAGATTTCTCTTTTCTTTTTTCATATCTCTCTCAGACAAGAGAGTTCCCTTTTATAGGTACAAGGCAACTCAATCAGCGACGCGTCCACCGGCCCAGCACGGCACGTCGCAAAACACACACACAACAGCCCAAGGCCCAAATACCCATCAAGCCTACACAAGCACATAACCCAGTAAAGCCTACAGAGAGTAGTGACAAAACCTGATGGCTACAGTAAGCTAATTACATAACAATGGTGCCAAAGGCTGGAGGTGGGTGCAGACAGTGTATATGCAAGGAGAAATATGAGGATCAGAGCCTTATGTTTGATTTTGTGATGCGTCTTCGGTCAGACTTTGAAACTATTAGGGTGTAGCTTCTTGGTCGATCTACTCTTCCTACCATGGCTAAGGCTCTCGCAGACTTAATTGCCGAGGAAACTTGTCTACAGTCACTTCCCAACTCCACAACACCGCATCACACTGTCCTTAATTCTTCATTGATGGGAACCTTCTTGTCTGGTGATCGTGCTTTCTAGCATGGGCCTTAGCAACTTCTTCCACTCAGATTGCAAGAGGTCTGGTCACCGTGTTCAGAAATGCTTCAAGCTACATCCTGAACTGTTGGCTTAGTTTAGGGCCAAGCGTGGTGCATCTCGCCATGCCCCTAGTACTTCAGTTACACTTGCTGCTCCAACTGTGACTGCAGCTTCAATTAGTGCAACTTCAACCAGTCAGCCCTACATGAGTGCTTATCAACCTGGTGTGTCAGCTTCTTTGTCCCCTGCACCAGGTACTTCTCAGTCATGGGTGTTAGACTCAGGATCCTCTTTTATATGACATCAGATGTGTCTCAGCTTGCATCCTGTCAACCAGTTATCAATGGTACATGTGTTCAGATAGCTAATGGCGCATCCTGTTTGGCACTCTTTCCACTTCTCAACTCACTGTACCAAATGTTTCTCTTGTGCCACAACTTTCCATGAATCTCATTTCTGTTGGACTGGACAACTCACAGACATGAACTATTTTGTGGATTTTGATAATACCTCTTGCTTCGTGCAGGATCCTCAGACAAGAGCACTTGTTGGTACTGGCCATCGCCACAGCAGCTCTAATGGGAAGCTCTATGTTCTCGATCACTTGAGTCTTCCACCTTCATCTTTTGGCTCCTCCACCACTAGTTCTGCAGCCATGGGTTATGCATCTTCTGCAACTTTTCCACAATGGCATCATAGATTGGGGCATCTTTGTGGGTTCCGCCTTTCAACTTTAATTCATCAGGATGTTCTAGGTCATGTCTCTATTGATACTACTTTTGATTGTACGGGTTGTAAACTTGGAAAACAGATACAACTACCGTACCCTATTAGTAATTCTAGGACTAGTTGTCCGTTTGACCTTGTTCATTCTGATGTATGGGACCCTGCCCCATTTGCTTCTAAGGGTGGACACAAATACTATGTCATATTTATAGATGATTATTCGAGATACACTTGGATTTACTATGTCGTATTTTTCATTCTGATTCAGGAGGGGAGTACCTCTCAGCTGCTTTTCGACAACTTCTTTCTTCCGAGTGTACTCTTCCTCAGTTCTCTTGCCCTGGTGCCCATCCTCAAAATGGTGTTGCTGAGCGCAAGCACCGGCATATCATTGAGACTGCCCACACTCTATTGATTGCATCATTTGTACCTTCTCATTTTTGGGCTGAGGCTGTTCCCATTGCTGTTTATCTCATCAATATTCAGCCATCATCTCGCCTTCAAGGAAAGTGTCCAGGAGAGGTTCTATTTGGATCTTCCCCATGTTATGATCATCATCGTGTTTGTTGGTATTTCTTAACGACATTACTAGAAATATAATTTCCAGCAATGGCGCAGAAATACTTCTGGTATATTATGGTTTCAGAGTTCATCCACAAGCGCACAGATATACCATTGTAGCATTTCACCCGAGAGTATTCCAATGGTATCGTATTTGTTTAATCTCGTGGGAAGATTACAATAGAGAGAACCGTACTAATAATTTATATATTACTTGTAATAACCAAAGTCTATGCAGGGGTTAATATAATTCAAAGGGGTAGAGTGACATTAAGTAGAAGCATTTGTACTCTCATTCATAATTATCTAAGCTAAGTGGAAATAATATAGAAAGATTCTATTCCTATATTTCTAGTATACATACATCCTAGCTATATGATTACTTAGCTAATACCCTCTTTCCGATGCCCTCCTGGTGTTTCGAGAAGCCACCCCTGATTGTCGAGTTGCTTACGACAATTCGTCGTGACCATCCAACCGGGGCTAAATACGAAGGAGTACCCTCCCTAGGAAATTAACTTAGGACTATATAAACGCGCGGAGGAATACCCGTACTGAGCTGTCACCATCAGCGGCCCACCTTGCTTCCGCAACATATAACCTCAAATAATGATATCTAGTAATCTAAACACCACGCTTAAATTACCAAATACTACTCTAATATCATCGTCATGACATAGTCATCGTAAATACGATCATTATACCCACACCATTGCACCTCCCAGATAAGCTAGCATCATAATGAATATAACTTGGATATATAATAAAGTTGGTATTCATATACTTAGAAAGTAGTACAATACCAAAGTAGTATAAAGAAGAGTATTCTAAATAAAGTACAAGTCTTACAAAAGAAGGAAAAGGTACTAGAGTGCCATACCCGAATTCTTCCGAAGACTCCGAGGACTGAAGATTCTATTATATTTCTATTCCACTATACTCTAGAGACTATACTAAACTTGAGAGATGTATGAAGCTTCTTGCTTGAGGTGTGTGGAGAAAGTGAGAAGAGGAGCTTCTTAAATAGGCTGCCAATGACGGTTGTGGCAGTTGGAATGGTCGGAATTGCCCTCCAGCCGTCATTGGGGAGTGATCCACGCCATCCAGAAGAAACCCTGCATCCAACGTTACCAGGGAGGGTTCGGCCGAACCAGGGGCCGGCCCAATCCAGCCCATCTTCGGCTAGCGGCCTCCTCTCTTGATATTTTATAGACTTCTGAATTTTGGCCCAATTGGTCGTGTAATTTCTGAGTTCTTGGCCCATCTTTCCATAAGTCTGATCCTCGACATCGTCTGATTGATTGATTGCATGTTTTTTATGTCGATTCTCCTCCATTTTATGTTCATTCTCTGCAAGAGGTTAGTAATCCTAGTGCTAGTAGAATATTTATTAATTAAACACAAATATGCATTGCAAGCATGACTAGTTTTCTTTTATTTTGGTAGTATTGACAGGCGAAACTGATCGCTAACGACCGTCAACAGTGTTTTTGGTTGTACTTGCTATGCTCTTTTGGCACCTTGAGAGCACACCAAGTTGTCAGCTCAATCAGTTGAGTGTGTTTTTCTTGGCTATAGTATTGAACATAAAGAGTATCGTTGTTATGACCCCTCTTCTTGTCGTACTCGCATATCTCGAGATATCATTTTCATTGAGGATCGTCCATATTTCTACTCTAAAATATCTTCCTCCTCATCTCCTCAGGAGTCCATCTCTTTTCTCCATCTTCCACCTATTCCTTCTCAAGACCTAACCACCATCAGTGAGACACATTTTCCATCTTCCATTCCTTCTCCCTCTTTGGATATACCATCATCCACCCAAACACCAAGGTCAGAGATGTCACCTTTTACTTTGCACTATAGTCGTCGACCTCGAACTCCACATGAGTCTCAGCCTCCCACTTGTCTTCCTTCAGATGTTCCAACTAGTACCATTAATGTTTAATCTGATGATCGACCTGTTGCTCCGCTCATTGATTATCCACTTGTGTTATCACCACAGTCTGGTACACCACGATATGGTCTTCGAGATCGCAGCAAGATAATGCCTCATCCTCGCTATATGTGTGCAACAATTGATGGTGTTCAGGAGCCTAGTACATATCAAGAGGCTGCTGCCATTCCTAAGTGGCAATTGGCTATGACAGAGGAGCTTGCTGCCTTAAAGCGAACAAGAACCTGCGATATTGTTCCTCTTCCTTGTCATGCCATTCCAATTACTTGCAAGTGGGTGTTTAAGGTGAAGACTCGCTCCGATGGCTCTATTGAGCGCTACAAAGCTCGCTTAGTTGCTCGCGGTTTTTAGCAAGAACATGGTCGTGATTATGATGAAACTTCCGCTCTGGTTGCTCACATGGCCACTGTTCGTACTCTTGTAGCTGTGGCAGCTGCTCGTTCCTGGACCATATCTCAAATGGATGTAAAGAATGGTTTTCTTCATGGTGACCTAAAGGAGGAGGTTTACACCTGGTGTTGATGCCCCTGCCAATTATATTTTCCATCTCAATCGTGCTCTTTATGGTATAAAGCAAGCACCTCGTGCTTGATTTGAGTGTTTTAGCTCTGTTGTTTGTGCTGTTGGATTCTTTCCAAGTGATCATGATCCAGCTTTATTCATTCATGTTTACAATGGCAGCGTGTAGGGCAATCTTCCTTTATGAATAGTTTCGATGTAAATTTAGGGGTGTCTTATACTTATGTGTTAATTGGCATGTTCTGTATTGAAGGTGAGTGGTGGTTCAATCTTAATCTATCATATAAGACTGAATTTATCCTATATTGTATCACTCACTTGATGGATCACAGCATTGTAATTCAATAAGCACACAAACCTTGATATAAAAAAGACCAAAAGATCAAGGTGGACTAGGTGTCCATAACCTTGATATAAAAAATAGTTGCTTATTAAGCAAATGGCTTTTCCATTTATTTAATGGTGAAGGCCTATGGCAATACCTTTTGCGAAATAAATACTTAAAGGGTAAACCTCTTTCTGGTATGTCCAGCAAGATAGGTATTTCTCAGTTTTGGGCCGGTTTAATGAAAGTCAAAGACCAATTTCTTAGATTTGGTTCTTTTAGATGTGGCAATGGGACAACATAAGATTTTGGGAAGACACGTGGTTGGGATCGCGTGCTTTCAAAGATCAATACCCTACATTATATAATGTGGCTCGAAAGAAGCAGTCTACTGTGGCAGAGGTCATGAGCACAAC